ATGTATTACTCACGCACTCACTCACTCACTCACTCACTCACTCACTCACTCACTCACTCACTCGCTCACTCATTCACTTACTCAGCGGCGGTAGCGGCAGCATTCATAGACCTATCCAATTATTTTAACTGCATATCACTTAAGGTGTTATTAGAAAAGTTAAAGCACTATAATATTCATCCCACCAGCTATAAATTAACCAGATCATATTTGGAAAATCGGTGCCAAATGGTAAATTGTAATAAATACATATAAATCCAGCTCCTTGCCAATAAACCAAGGAGTGCTTTTTCCAAAGTTCAATTCTCAGTCGTCAAGAGAGAAGAAAGAAGATTAATGACAAATTTTCGTAATTCACCAAGGTTTCGATTATACATGAATTTTCGTTAATTAAGGAGTTATCAAGAACGCAGAAGCCGTACTATCATCACGTGAGTTATATGAGTTGAATATTACGACATAGCTTCCAACAACTATCAACTCATAATGGACCGGTATTTCAGTTGTAGTTGTTGGTTAAAATCATAGTTAACAAACCATGGTTACGCTTTTACCAAAACTTTAACCAAGAACCGGTATTTCAGTAGCGAAACTTTGATTAACTATATCTTGGTTATCTAACCAACATTTTTCTTAAGTTGGTAGCATTGTTGCATTATTGGTCTTACCAGTTCAAAGGAGCATGCGTAAGAGTCTAGATACTCCTATAATATTTCATATTTTGAACGATTAAACGGCATATACGGACATGATACGGATTGTCGACTATTTTTAACCTCACTTTTTTTTTTTATCCAACAGACAAAGATCTATGTGTATACTTGTACATAACTCCGGATAAGTATACACAAATACATATAACAAAAAAAAAAATCAATACAAAACAATTATATAACTAAACACTAATCACTAAAAATGATATAACTCGACATGCAGGAACGTCAACTACAGTGGCGTAAGAACTGCATTTTTACACAGATAAGTGAAATGTTTGATATTCTGTAAAAAGATGTCTGCAAGTGGAGCAATATTATTGTAACTTCTGCACATCTATACTTCTATACTTATATAATAAAGCTGAAGCTTTTATTTATTTGAACACGTTAATCTCAGAAACTACTGGTTCAAATTCAAAAAATCTTTTTGTGTTCGATAGTCCATGTATCATATCTACATATAGGCTATATAACATCACGCTACGATCATTAGGAGCGAAGTAGCAATGAAAAATTCGGAAAAACGGGAAAAGTATTCCTCCTTTGACAGCTTCCGTTGCTTACGCTGCTTAAACGGTTAAAGTTACGTAAAAATCATGAATGACGAAATTGTTCCTCTCTAGAAGTTCTAAAGAAAAGTCCGCGACAGCATATGTCTATCTTTTAAGGTCGAGTCAGTATAACCTTTTTTATGGTAATTAAATTTGTTCTAAAATAATAATGCATTATGTATAAAATTCTCGCGTCACAGTGTTTGTAGCCGAACTTCTCCGAAATGGGTTGACGGATTTGTATGAAATTTTTTATGTATATTCGGTCGGTCTGACAATAGGTTCTAAACTATTTTTTAGACCCCTAAGTGATAAGGGTGGCCCACCCTAAAAAATGTTTGTCTATTTTTTGGACAAAATTTTTTATTTTTATTTTTTTAAGATTTGGCATCAAAAAATACACATAACCCTAAATTTTCACCTTTCTACCACCAACCCCCATTTTTTAATCTATACATATAAAATTGTTTGTCCTGACTGACTGATTCATCAACGCAGAGCCTAAACTACTGCAGCTAGAAACATGAAATTTGGACAATAGTTTGCTTTTGTGATGTAAACACCCACTAAGAAAGGAACTTGGGAAATTCCACCCCTAAAAGGGTGAAAAGAGGTGGTAAAGTTTGTACAGGAAGACTATTTCCTAACCATTTCTGTTGTAAATATTTACGTGAAACTTGGTATTAATGCTTTTCAACACAAATAACGAAACACGTATTTCACCATTTTTCGAAATTCAACCCCTAAGGGGGTAAAAAGTGGTGGATAAGTTTGTACGGGAAAACTACTTCTGTTGCACATTTTCACGTGTAACTTGGTATTAGTGCTCTTCAACACATATAATGACACACGTATTTCAGCATTTTCCGAGATTCAACCCCTAAGGGGGTAAAAAGTGGTAACTAATTGTGTATGGGAAAAATATTTCTATTGTAAATTTTTGCTTGGAACTTAATATTAATGCTTTTCAACACAAACAATGTAATGCGTATTTCAGCTGTTTTTGCGATTCTACCCCTAAGAAGATCAAATGAGGTGACAAAGTTTATATGAGAAAAAATATTTGTATGGCGATGTTTACTTGAAATGTTGTATTAATACCCTCCAACACATTTGTTACTTGAAATTTTGTAATCATGTAAAATTGTTTGTCTTGACTGTCTTTAAATTTTTTTTTTTTGATATTCATCCCCAACGGAATATAATTTGGGTGGAAATGTGAGAAACAGGAGAAGTTAAGTATTAATCCAAAAGTGGTTAAAAATCAAAGTTTAAAATAGTTAAATATGTTTTTCGCATATTAGAGGCAGTAGGATTATTGGAAAAATCAGTCCTAAGCGTTTGAAATTTAAGAAGTTGTATGGAAATAGGGAGGGCGCGACGTCACCGAGTAAGCGACTGCGAAGCGAACGCGGTCTGCGGTCGGACGCGTGAGGCCAAAACGGCATTGACGGTTGTGTTTTATGTCACGAATTGTAAGAGTATTTCTCATATAAGTATTCTAATTTTGTGTTTCCGTGTATAAAATGAGGTAACTATACCAAAAAATATCCTTGAATTCTCCTGAAAGAAAAAATCTAATAAATATATATGCAAATGTGTTAATAAAGGATCCAACCAGGATTATTTGCTCTTGAAAATCACATTGATGAGGTCAAATTATATGAAAGTGGTCGATATATTAGCAGCTGGAGAATCTTGGCCTTTCCTATACATGAACAATTTCCAGCGGTTTTTCATCTCGCAGTGCACTTGGAAAATGGCCTGCTGTCTATTTTAATCCTAACGACTTTAATAATGTAACTGAAAAGGTAAATAATTCACAGAAAACTACTCCTCTATCATTTTTTGAGCTTTGCAAAGTGGATACTTTTGCAAAAATCTTTCTTTATGTTGAAGTACCTTAATACTATGTGTGGAAAAGTACCAAATTTGAGAGATGAAAAAGTGGAAACAATGTTGATGGTTCGCCGGGAGTCAAAAGAGATCAAGCTTTGACCGGAGTGTACACCGTTCACCCTAATAACGCGGAATGTTTCTACCTTGATCCTCTTCTTCATGCGATGAGAGGGCCAACATAATTCTCGGATTTAAAAACTGTTGGTAGTGTCGTTTATTTCACATACCAGTCATTATGCAAAGCTTTGGGTTTGTCAAGTTAAGTCAGACTGTCAAGAGAGTGTTCAGATTATAAATGAAGTGTACAACAAGTGTCTGATTTCCATTAAAGACACGGTGCTGTCTTTAGGAAGACAATGTTGAGAGTACTATGGTTTGCCTGTAAGACGTGAAGAAGTCATACAAAACAGAGACTATCTCAGAGAGATTAGCTATGACATACTTTTATAGGCACAACGAAACTTTATTAAGTACAGAATAATATCAAATTTACAACCAAGTTAGATAGGTCAGGTAAATGTTTGTTTTTACATAGCTGCCTACAGCTATTAGCGACAAAAATATCCAAATATTTTAAATCTTTACTCAAACATATGTTAACATGGGGTATAAAATTTAACATGGGAATCCTTATGGCCACTTATAAAAAAAAGATGTATTGTATTATACTCCTATGTTATAGAATAACTTTGTTTCACCCCCCCCCCCCCTCCGTCGTATTTAAAAATTCACGGGACTCTAACTCCAAACTTTCAGTCCTTATTTCATACACCTAGGGGTAATGGATGCTTACATTACGAAAGGAACCTTCTGTCCAAATTTCGTGTTTCTATAGCTCCAGTAGTTATGTTGATTTGTCAAGCGGAGGACAAACACTTTTATATATTGTTATTAATGAAGACTGCACAAACTTAAAAAGTAATAAAATTGAAATAAAAAAATAAATCAGGGGATGAAAAATAATGTGCCCTAATTGCGAAATACACGCAAGCGGAGCTGCGGGTAACAGCTAGTCGTCTATAAAATAAAAATCAATTTCTGTTCATGTTAGTCTCGCTAAGACTCAAAAACGGCTTGACCGATTTGAAACATTTTTTATATTACGGGGATGGTTTATAAATAAAAAAAAATAAGGACAACTTAAAAGAACAGTTAAAAAATAAAAAAAATTCTAAAAATTTTGTATGGGAATCGCCACTTCGAATTAATTTCAATAGTTGGCGTTTCTGACGGACCTGTCGTCTCACCGACGTGTCATACAAAACTAATTCTTCCGTGCGATTGTGAAAAGTATATTGCATTTCAAATCGTTCTTTGTTTTTTCGTAAAAAAAAAACGTCGTTTATTTAAAAAAAAGTCTTGGTTAAAGTGAATTTAATTACACATTGCGAAAGTTTCTTATTCATTTTGATCTGACATTCTATTTACCTATATTCACTTTGTTGGTTTCGACAAAACCTCAAACTTTACCATTATTCGAGGATTTAATTTGAAGTTTTCAATATTTTAAAATTCTCAAGACAAAATTTACAGATTTGATTGACTGTGAAAATAATTCTGTGTCGTTTTATGAAGTTCATTAAAATGCCGAGAAGACGACAAGCTCACATAGGTCCACGAAGTCAATCAAATGTGCGACGAACTACCTCAGGTGCAAACCACAATGATTTATTTCATGGGTAATTCGGATATGGAAGTTGATCAGCGTTGTGCTCATAATCAACATAATCAAACATTGAAGCGAGACATTGGGTGGTATGAATAAAACTGAGTAGATACTCATATTCGAAGTACGAAGTACCTACTTCATTATTACTCTTACATACCTGAGCATCTACTCTATGTACTGAGTACCTACTTGGAAACATTGTATCTCCCCAGACACTGAAACTGAACATCTACGCGTTTTGTGAGCATTTAATTTAGAAATGAGCATCGGCGTAGCAAATAACTGAGCTGTCTGTAAAGCAGCTTAGAAAACGAGTAGGATCGTTGTAAGAGTGAATTTTAACTAAACATAGTGACTTTCATGAACGTGGAACGTCGTCAAAAGGTGCATTCAGTTTGAAAAACACATTAGGAGCAGGAATATCGAAAACTTTTCATGTAATTAACTTTTATTTATGCATAAATTGTGCAGTGCGTTTTTTGTAACACTGGCCATAGAGATTCCCATCTCAAGGTGTCTACCCCATACTAACTTATATTTTGGTGACTCGATTTTTGCCTTGATGGTTGAACAGTGTCACTGTTGTCCTTTTTTGTTGTATCGAGATGCTACTTGAGCATCAACTGTTACTTACTGAAGTATTAGTATCATCTAGAAATACTAGAAATATTTTGATTTGATATTCGAGTAGATACTTCGTATTTCGAGTATGAGCATCTACTGAGTTTTATTTATATCAACCATTGTCAAAAAATTGATCGAACGTTGTTTCGACAGAACTTCCTTCGCACCAAAAGTATAATGAAACATATTCAGCATTTTCGAGTTGAGTCTTTTCTTCACACAATTTTGTGATAACCTAATCAACATTTACTATCAACACGTATACCACCTTGGATTGGTGCAGTGTAATACTAAAAATAACTGTATTGTATTCCCAAAATTATCTGCGAAAATCGAGTGAGCCATTCCATCAATTTTTTGGGGGGAATAAATAAATATTCTTAACAATTTACCATGCTTACAATAACTTTAAAACATCTGCAAGATCTCAAAGTATTCATTTTTGCAACTCTTGAGTTATTCACTAAAATAAATTGACTGATCCATGTATTTTTTTGAGTCACTGTAAAACCAAATCTAAAAAATATTCAAGTCTTCAAGTTTTTGGGCTTAATAAACAGATATATTTTGATTGAAAACCTACCATGTCAAACAGTAACTTCAAAACGTCTGCAATATTTCAAAATTCAGTTTTGCAATTCTTGATTCAATCAATAAAATAAATTGACTCAGTGATTAATTTTTTTGAGACACCCCCTATAAGCAAAACTAAAAAATATGAATGGAATGATAAATCACAAGTATAGTCTCATCCTATTTTGGACATTTTAGATAGGATTCATTTGGCAAAATTCTGGGCTAACGTCATCAATTTTTTGGAGGGGATAAGTAAATATATTTTGAATAAAAATTTATTATGCTTATCGTATATTTAAAACATCTGCAGGATTTCAAAGCATTCGATTTTGCAAATTCAAAATTAAATTGTAGGTGAAACGAAGTTCACGGGGTCAGCTAGTATTATATATCGGCGAATAGAAATGTTGATTAGTTCTACACCAATCTATTGCAAATGTTCCAGTATATCTACAATTTAAGCGCGGTATGTGAAACTTAAGATTACTAAGCAGATTTTGTGGAAAAATTTTCCCATGAATCAGCTTATGTAAAAATACAATATTTGCCACCGTTCTTCTATCCTTCAACGAGTATAGATTAAATTCATTGAAAAGAACTACGCTCGAGCAAGTTCTTACGGGATATCTGCCAAATTTAACATAAAACAATTGTTTACAAAATTTTCTTTGAATACGCTCTATTGAAGATATATGAATTTTGTAGTATGGATCCCATACGACGGATGAATATTCCAGTTTAGAACGAATAAATGAATAATATAATACAAGCAATGAATCAACATTGGTAAAACCGACAGTATTTCTTATAATAAACCCCAACATTCTATTAGCATGATCACAAATATGTTGAAAATGAGGTATAAATGACAATTGTGAATCAACCACAAGACCAAAGTCTTTAATTTGGAATACTCTGTCTATTTCTGTATCGTTTAATTCATACTTATATTGTGTAGTATCAGGTGATCTAGAAAAGGTTATTACTTTCCATTTGGCTACATTAGTATTTTGTTTATTATTGTGACACCATATAATAAAATTATTAAGATCATTTTGAAGCGAGTAACAATCATCAAGCGTGGTAATAGTTTTAGCCACCTTCAGGTCATCAGCGTACACAAAGATAGGACATTTAAATTCTAAAAGTGCGTCATTGAAGTATATAATAAATAAAATAGGTCCAAGGTTTGACCCTTGCGTTACACCACTCATAGTTACATAAGTTTGAGAGCGAAAACCACGGTACTCAACATACTGAATGCGATTACACAAAAAGGATTGAAATAACTTTATTAAATTACTACACAGACCAAATTTGCTCAAGTTATCAAGCAAAATCAAGTGATTAACCACATCGAAAGCTTTAGATAAATCTGTGTAAATAACATCAACTTGTTTTTTACTTTCAAGAGAATCAGATATGTATTGGATGTATTCACACAGATTTGTTGAAGTTGACTTTCCTTATATAAAACCATGTTGACTGGGGCTAAGTTGATTAGATACATGACTATATAAATTATTAGCTACAATTCTGTCAAATATCTTACTAAAATTTGAAACTATTGCAATGGGCCTACAATTCTCGATGTTATTACGTACACCAGATTTGAAGACCGGGATAACTTTAGTAGACTTCCACTTATTAGGATATGCAGCCTCAGCAATAATTAAATTAAACAAGTAGCAAAGGGGTTCACATAAACAAGAAATACAGTCTTTTACAAGGAAAGCAGGCACATTGTCAGGACCCATAGTAAAATTAGAATTGACTTTTTTGACGGCATCCAAAATATCACAGGTATTTATTACGAAATTGTGTAAGACGCTCACCATATCACTTTCTCTATCACAGACTGGGAAACTATCACAGATATTATCACTACTAAAGATGTCACTGAAATGAATCGCGAAATGATTGACAATTTCTTGTGGATCAGTTGGTTCAATACCTTTATTGAACACATGACCTGGGATACTCGAGACACTTTTCTTTTGATTAATATATGCCCATAAATTTTTTGGATCTTGCTTGATGTTCGTTTCCGCCGATACTATAAAGTTGATGTATGCCACTTTGATTTCTTTCTTAATGAGTCTCCTAAGATCATTAACTTGTGATAATACTCTTTCAAATTTATTTTTTTTATAACTCTTCCATAACTGACGCTTACGTTTAATATAGCCTATGATAGATGGTGTATACCAAACAGGATAATATGTCGTAGTATTAATTGGAGTCTTGGGAATAAATCTATCTAAAAGGTCATAAATAATGGAATAGAAATAATCGCAAGCAACATCGACATCTTTAATAACTAGTAGTTGAGACCAGTCTGTGTTATTTAGGTATCTGTATAGCTCTATATAATTTCCTTTACGAAAATTATATTTGGTCTTAATTCTCGAAAAGTTGAAATTCGACTCTTTCAAATTAGCTGCACGAACTTGTAGAATGATAGATAACGCAGGATAGTGAACATCTTGATCAACTACTGGAGTATTGGACTGCATTACGGTACATTTCAAATCCGTAGAACAAAGGATTAAATCTAAAAGTCTACCTTTAGCATTAGTTACTAAGTTCTGCTGCTGTAAATCATTAAAATTAATAAAATCACACAGTGGAATATTCGACCCTGTTAAATGTCCAACATTCTCGTTTTGCATTATCTGATTATAATATTCAGGGATGTTAAAGTCACCTACTATTAAGGTTTTTTCAGATATAAGACTCTCATGCTCCAAATACTCAAAGATATCTTCGTAACAAATACTGGGTGAAGCTGGTGAAATGTATAAATTTATTATATTTAAACTGACGTTTTCATTTAACTGCACCTTGACTCCAATTAAATCAGCATCCGTAACAGGCGAAGTTAGTTTTAATTGTTTACTAGACAAATGAGATTTAACCGCTAACAAAACTCCTCTTCCTCTGCCCTTTTTATTTGCTCTGAAGACATTAAACATTGAACTAAAATATTCGGAACTTAGTACATCATCCTTCAACCAGGTTTCAGTTAATGCGAGTATATCAGAGTTATTGACAAAAACATTAGAATAAAAATGATTTACTTTGGTATTTAACCCTCTACTATTTTGGTAATATATTTTTATTTCTTTTAATGCAAGGGCTTCGTATTTATTTGTCTGTTGGAATATTAAGCGTTTTTTTCTTCTTTTTTAATAATTTTTGGTATGCCATTTTTGTATCTTAAATAAATATCAGACTCTCCTTGCTCTTTACGATGTTTATATTCAGTCCTGACCAAATAAGATATATTTTGTTGTTGTGGAGTAATGAGTCTCTATCACTAGAAAAGTAAATATTTGCCATTTTCTTACTTTTCACATGATTCACTTAAAATATAACAATACTTTTGCACGGAGAAAAAACGTATATTAGACAAATCGCTCCGTTGAGGTGGGCGGATGTGATATTTAATAACTCCGTTCTTTGATTGTCGTTATTTATATAGTAGTGTTGTATTCTACATTATTAATTGTACACCATGTCTACGTGTAGTTTGTGCAACAAAAAGCTCGTAGTGGTGATTGTGTAACATGTGATATCTGCAGAAAATATATACACACGAAAAATGTGATATAGTGTCCATTATTCACAACATGAAAACTGAAATTGAGGTTTTAAAAGATGAGCTGGCTGAACTAAAAAAGAGTGGAAGTAATGTCGCTGACCGTGATTCGGAAAAGAAACTGTCTGATGAAGAAATAATCGTTGAAATTGAGGACCGAAATTATCGGGCTAATAATTTAATTCTATACAATATGCCTGAATCTCAGGGAGAATCATTTGCGGTCCGTAAGGAAGATGATATGTCCCGTTGTCAAAATATAGTTGTGCCCAATGGTAGCAATAATAACATCAAGATGCGTTCTTGTGTACGCTTGGGTAAATATAACCAAGATAAAGTGCGTCCTCTTAAGATAATTTTCTCTTCTGCCCAAGATGCAATTGATTCTTTAGTGGTATACAGACGTAAGGATAATTTATACTTAAATCGGGATCTAAGGGGCCAATTCCAAGTTGGTGGCGCAAGTCACTGGTGCAGCGCAACTTTATAATGCTAAGGGGTCTATTTTGTAATTTATCGCTCCGGAACGATCTCGTTCCCAAACGATAATCGTTAGAAGCAATCGTAAAATCAGTTTAGCGAGATTGTACAAATTTCCAATTTTATAAACACTATCGTAATCGTAAAGCTTTGAAATCGTTAGCGGAACGATGAATCTAATGTTTTTAAAATGGGTAGTATTTAAATTTGTGTAGCGTCTAGATTACGTTGTCCTCTGTTGTGACATGTGACATTTGTTTTGCTACTGATTGAAGTTTGGACAAATTTGTGAACTTATAACATGTAAGTAAACAATAATTATAAAAGAAAAACATCAAAATAATCACACTAACACGAAATTCAGTTTACAATACGTTCATGGCAGCAATGGAAAAACGTAAAAGGGCCCAGCGTATTACCCAACAGCAACATGAGTTGTATGTGGAGGAGTTAGAAGGTAATGTAGATTTTAGGGCCCAAAAGTTCGTAGCGGACAAGCCAGATCTTTTAGAAAAGATATGGGAAGGGTTGGTAGCAAAACTAAATTCTGTGGGAGGACCACAAAAAAGTGTTCAGCAGTTCAGAGAGGTATGTGTAATTAATTAATCGCCCGAACACTCTTTTTAAAAATGTGTACTTCACTATAATTTATCGTACAACTATTAGCAATTATTCTGCTTACATCAACACTTTGTTTAAGACAAAGTGAACATCTTGTTTAGTCATGACCAATCAATTATGAGAACTGAGATGTTTAATCTTTATAAATACTGTTACACAATAAACCATAACCTCTGTGTTTTTTAGTACACCAAGAATATAACATAGGGCACTCTAATTACAATGTACTGCCTGGTAAGTAAACGTCACTGTGTGTTCCCGAGATTTGTAGATTGGAAATTCAATGTTTGAAAGAAGGCCAGAAATTTAAGACTATATGAAAAAGGAACTGTTTAATAATTTCATTATGTTGTAAAAAAAATAATAAATACGTGTTCTTCATATTCAAGTTCTTCATTATTATCGTTCTCCTTGTCATAGACAATATTGATCTCGTCATTTTCGATATTTCTTATGCGTAAGATGTTGTGTGAAATAGCACATGAGTATATAATTTTTCCTGCAACTTCTGGTGAATAATACAGAACTCTGCGGCAGTATTTCTGGAAATGTATCTCTCGCCGCTTCCCATTACAGTTGGTAGGTCTTCCTAAAGGTTTCTTCTCGAACGATCAAGGGGTCGTTTACATCTCTTAAGACCCGAGACAAATTTCTCATTCTGTCTCTGCAGTAAAAAAAATATATAATAAGTTATCAACCTAGTCCAAACATACATTAATTACTTACATTTACCTTCTCTACCCATATTTGCACCAAAACGTTCCTCTTCATTGTATAAATACTTTTCTAACGTGTTCTGACACTTCTAACGGTGAGCTGAAACCTATCGTTCCGGAACGATGACATTCTAACGATACGATCGCTATGTAACGAGACGATAGATGTTACAAAATCGCTATCATACCCAAAATCGTTATGGGAACGATTATCGTAAGTTAACGATGCTCTAGCGAGATCGTTAAGAGTTACAAAATAGACCTCTAATTTGGGTATCAAATGCTGGTTGCTAGGGGTGACGGAATAAACAAGCGCAATTTTTCGAGATAAATTGCGCCAACTTGCACTGCCTACTAGAGGTGCCGCAACTCCATGGTGCAAATTTCAATGGAAAATTCGACACAACTGCGTTTGTTGATTCCGTCACCCCTAGCAACCAGCATTTGATACCCAAATTAGCATTATAAACTTTGCTCTGCACCAGTGACTTGCGCCACCAACTTGGAATTGGCCCCTCAGACGATAAACGAATTTTTAATTTTGTCGTACGCTTGGGACGAATTCGTAAAATTTCTAGAATGCAGATACCTACTCAAAGATTATTTTTTCCTTCAAATTTATAGCTGCAAATTTCTTTTTCAAAATAGGTACGCTTACTTATATTCATTGTGAACAACTTTCATTATACATGTAGCTATATGCATTTAAAAGACACAACCTATCACGTGCAATATCAACAGATTAGGTAACAGGAGTTTATCATATCATCCAATACGTGCGTCATAATTAGTCAGATACAATCAGGTCCTTAAAAAGCATGTGCTAACAAGAAAATAATTGTTAACCTACCTCGCTGGAGTTGGTTGGCTAACCAAGAAATTTAACCATCAAATATTCTTAACCAAATACGCTTAACCAAAACTTTTTTGGTTAACTATAATTTTTTGGCTTAACCAACAACTGAAGTACCGGACCAGTAGTGAAACATTTCCTGCGGATGAAAAGCTTGAAGATTACTATTAGAACTTATTTTACGACTCAATATTTAAGTGTCAATTTAATGGAGTCAAGCTTCTCAAGAAACTACTATCGAGTCGAACTACAACTTACATCTCTAATTTCAGACGATCGGTATAATGATTACAAATACTCAGTGAATCTGCCTAAGCTCTTATCTTCATAATACATTTGATATTTCTTCACCGTTTCGAGTCAACTTACGAGTAAATTCTATACTTGCAGAAATTTTTATTTTAATTGCCCTTCATCCTCTCATTTCCGATTTATATTCGGTAGTCCAAGCAATTCTTGGCTATATTTCTTTGCTATTAAATTTTAAAATGTTATCGCTATGACCTGAGACACTCACTATTAAGGAATTTTATAAATTTGTTTATTAGATTACAGAATCAGAGTAAACCTAAATTCAAACAGTTGTAAATAATTTATTGGCCTGTTGAACTACAAAATACCCTTTATAATCGCACACACACCAACTGGAACTAGATTTTTGGGCAGGCAATTAGTACAATGCTCCAGCAATATGCTAAAAAATTAAAAAACACTATTTAGAAAAAAAGATTTTACGCCGTTCCAGCAAATTTTGCCTCCGTCTTGGTAGCAACTCGGATGTCAAGTACTATTTAAGTTAAGGTAGCATTTGATTTCACTGCATGTATTGCATAATGCATAATGTAGGGATTTTTAATCCAGTACCACTTAACCGTAAACATATTGTATATCATTCCACTACTAAAAACTATGTTACAATTTTCTGAAAACAGAATAAAATTATAAACATTATATTGTAGTCGTCAACATACCCCTCTTAAACATAGACTTCATGTCTTCAATATCAATAAACATATCATATTTGTGTCCCCCTTTGGGTATATAATGCAGAATATCTTCAAAGAGATTAATAAAAATCAATCTGGAAAAGAGCGATTTGCTGTTCGTAGTTATAAAAATAGATCCGCCAGGCTTCAAGCATTCTATGCAACATTTCAAAAAAAAATCTTGCTCTTCAACATGTTCTATTGTTTCAGACGCTATTACAACATCGTACTTGTTTTTATTGCCCACAGAGTACTCCTCAATGGTCGAAAGTACGTAACGCAAATTAGGAAAATTATCATTTTCCGTATTATGGTCAACTGCAGTTTTAAACATATCTTCGTTACAATCCAAACCTGTTACATTTCCACCTAAACGACTCAGAGGTTCTGTCAAAATTCCACCTGCAATTCATTTTTAACAGATCTTTGTAGTTCAAATTTTATTCGAAATTAAGATATTTTTTACCTCCACAGCCTACTTCCAGAAATGAGATTCCTGCCAAGGGAGTAGATTTGTCAGCACTCTTTTTAAGAAGGCCTGTCTGAGTTAGTTGTTCGGTAATCCAAGGTACTCTTAAATCATTAAAAGAATGTAAAATTCTGGTTCCTTTGTGATTCGTATTCCACCATTGTTTAGACAACTCTTTGAACGTTTCAAGTTGCTCCTGGTTAACTGTATGTTTTGTAGCAAAACATCTGTAGAAATGCCATTGTTAGTTTATAAAACATAAGTGTAGTAATTTTTCCGAAACAAGAAGAATTTCTATATTTCAGCTATTTAAATTACAATTTCCCAGTAAGTGGGTTTAACCTAACCTAATTATTATTATTATTATTACTATAAATAAACAATAAAATAATGTACGTGTAAACATATCCATCATATTCAGAATTATTATTGGTGTGTTTTTATGACGGATGTAACTTACCTCACATTTGGAATTAGGCGTTTTAGCATGATTTAACGTAAGCGGTTGGAATGGCGACAATTTTAGTTCAGCATGACAAGCAGAAGAAATATTGTTTTGTTTTGTTTTATTTTCTTAGATATCCGATTTAAAGTAAAGGTTATAAGAATGTTAAGTTATAGATAAATAAGATCGTACTTAATTCTAATTACGTTGTTGTTGTATACAACTGATTATTTAATTAATTTATAGGTTTATAACCTAATCTTTCCCGTTTCCATATCTCTGTCTGTCTACCGTCCGCCGCCTTTGTCGGTTTTTATTAAAAACCGACAATCTTCGAAGCTATTTTCTCGATTATTGTGAAATTTTAAATTTTAAGAATATCGCGTGGAATCCCACCGTCGTTGACATTTTTTTTTCTAAGACACTGAATTTGTCTGAATTTTAGAATTAAGCTAAAAGGTAAGTTTTGTCTAAATAACCCTACACCAATATTTTGTAGATGTTTTCTAAAAACAAGTAAAATAACCAAGGTCCATTTTAAAAGGGAGAAAAATTATTGCTGTTATTTATTTTTTATATAACAAGAAAAATGTTTTATAATGCGGTCCTTCTGATATTCGTAGAAATTAATTAAGTAGAATAATACAGGGTGTTATTGAAAGGTACGTACAACAAAATTGACAGTTCTTTCACGAAGTCTAAGAAGCCTGAAAAACTTATTTTGTGTTATCAAAATTATAAGGGGAAAATTAACCCCTATCCAGATAGCCACTAAAGGATAAATAGGTAAAATTAATTTATTTTAGTAAATCCTAGCAACTGTAACAATAATAAAAAAATAAGAGACCCTTTTGTTGCTATAGAAACAAAAGATGACATTTTTATCAGAGGCGTACTACGAATTTGGACATAAATTTTAATAATTTTTATTTCTAAAAGGAGAACACTCTTCTGAACTTTTTTTTAATTTTAGCACCCATACTTCGAGACCAATTGCCGATTTTATTTTGTACGTACCTTTCAATAACACGCTGTATATGTAGGTAAATAATATTTAGCACATATTGTTCTTCATGTTTGATTTTAATTTTTCACTGAAGATTAGGGAGTAAATCAAACAATTGACAATTCTCAATATTGATATAATTATCGATTGTACCTAATCAAAGTAGATTCTTAAATCATTAATAGAGAGCGGATTTATAAGCACAAAAAAATTAAGAATAAGCGCTTAAATAAGCACAACATTTTCAATAAAAAAGTTTTATTTTAAGCAAATGTTTAAATCCTAAATTTAAACAATAATTTCTAAAAATTAAAATTTCCTCTTTACGTCACCAATAACGAGGTCAAGACCAACGACGCGAATGTAGAACGCTGAAACATGGAATTGCAAGCACCAGAACTACGAAACGCTGACCACTGCAAGAGCACCATCGTCAGCGTTACGAAGACAGCGGTAATGGAACAAAAGAAAATACAAAAAACTGGGACGCAATATAAATTCATATGTCTTATTACCTTTAGTTTAGAACCACTCACACGCTGTAAATAGTTAGTTTTGTATAAATAAGTTAGGTTGTTTTGAATAAAATCAGTATTAAGCTTTATTGGCTTTTTACTCACTCCCACAATTCTACCCCAGAATTGTTCAGCAAAAAAGCATTAAATAAGCATAACACTTTCATTAAAAAAGTTTTATTTTAAGCAAAAAAGCATTAAAAACATAATCATATTACAAATCAAAGAACACTTCTTAGAACTTTGGATAAAATATTATTATAATAATCCTAGACTTTATATTTTACACATGTATTTCAGTTTTCTTTAAAACAATTTATGATTGTAATATGTTCCAAGTTGTCCACTGTAAAATTTTTTCGCCGATCATTTAAAATGTGTTTAAAATTGGAGAATGTGCGTTCAACATCCACACTCGTTGTTGGCGCAAATTTGAATTTTGCAACTAATGTTGAATCTAACTACAAATTTTCTACCTTCTGGCCTTGTAAAACACGAGCAACGTCGACAAAAACACCGAAACCTGCATTTTACTTCCCGAGCGTAAGCAAAGGAAGTATTGTAATCGAGTCCGTTGGCCGACTCTCTACTTTTACGTTTTCTCGATCTTTCATGACCACTAGAAGACGAAGAAATAGGTCTCCCATTTCCGTCTGTCTGTCCGTCTGTCCGTCTGTCCGTCCGTCTATCCGTCTGTCCGTCTGCCGTCCCGGATTTTTATTAGACAGATAATCTCCGAAAGTACTCAACCGATTGTTGTGAAATTTTGTACTTATATTAAGAATATCATGTAGATGGTAAAACGCTAACCAAAATTTGTCTAATCATCCCCACCACTAATTTGGATTTGCATATATAGAGTGACCCAAAAAAATTAATGAATGCGTAAATATATTTTATTGATTTAATCAGGAACTACAAAACGGAATGCTCTGACATCTTCCAGATGTTTTAAGGTTATAAAGAGCATGATAAATGTTTAGTCAAAATATATTTGCTTATCCCCTCCAAAAACTTGATGACGTCAGCTCGAAAATTTGCCGAATAAATCATATCTAAAATGTACAAAATATGATCAGTCTGTACTTGTGATCTATCACTCCGTTCATATTTTTTGGATTTGCATATACAGGGTGATTCAAAAAAATAAATGAAAGCGTAAATTTATTTTACTGATTTACTCAGGAACTACTAAACCGAATGCTTCGAAATCTTGAAGATATTTTAAAATTATCATAAGCATGGTAAATTTTTGATCAAAATGTATTTGGTCGTCCCCCCTAAAAAATTTATGACGTCACCACAAAATTTTGCTGAATAAATCCTATCTAAAATGTACAAAATATGGTGAGTCTCTTCTTGTGATTTATATCATTCCATTCAAATTTTTTCGATTTGCATATACAGGGTGACTCAAAAAAATTAATGAATGCGTAAATTTATTTTATTGATTTAATCAGGAACTACAAAACCGAATGCTTTGAAATCTTGCAGATGTTTTAAGGTTATAAAGAGCATAATAAATTTTTAGTCAAAATATATTTGGTTATCTTCTACAAAAAACTCATGACGTCAGCTCAAAAGTTTGCCGAATAAATCGTATCTAAAATGTACAAAATATGATGAGTCTGTACTTGTGATTTATCATTCCATTCATATTTTTGGATTTGCATATGCAGGGTGACTCAAAAAAATTAATGAAGGCGTGAATTTATTTTATCGATTTAATCAGGAATTACATAACCGAATGCTTTGAAATCTTGGGAATATTTTAAAGTTATTATAAGCATGGTAAACTTTTGTTCAAAATGTATTTGTTCATCCCTTCTAAAAAAATTTATGACGTCACCCTTAAATTTTGCTGAATAAATCCTATCTAAAATGCAAAAAATATGATGAGTTTGTACTTGTGATTTATCATTCCATTCATATTTTTTAGATTTTCTTAAGAGGTGGTTCAAAAAAATTAATGAAGTCAATTTATTTTCTTGTTAAATTAAAGGCAACACTTATTATTAGTATTACACCCCAACCAACCCAATTTGGTAGACACAAAATTTGTTAAAGGAAAAACTCGGTTGAAACATAAGGGTAGCACGCTTATTTACATCGACTTTAACATTACAGACCTGCATTTGTTTTATGCGCTCACTTGGTTCCGCGAATGTGAAATAGACATGTTTATAATCAACCAATTGTGAATTTCACCGTCAAGAATTAAAATAAAACCCAATGTTTTATATAATAAGCGGAAGTCGAAGCAATAAAACCGATGGTCGTTTTGTTTACAGTTTCTCTGTTTGACTCTCACGTATGCTGTTACGCCTGTCATCTTAAATTAAGAATGTTTATACATACACGATTTTCAGTTGCCTCTGATACGTATACGTGAGTAAATTGTTTCGTTATTTTATTGATTATTACAAATCAATATTCAAAACGACCCAATTCATTTTCCCGAAAATTTGAGAATATAATAATTTTATTCTTAGTATTACACTACATCTATCCCAAGTGATATACGTGTCCTTGCAAAAATGTTGATGACGTCATCGCAATTTTTTTTTAAATTCCCACTACAAAAATGTAATGAGAAAAAAACACAATAGGCATGCAGTCGTCAAGTTTCCGACAGCGAGGGAAGTACTGTCTAAACTCTTTAGACCAATTTTTTGAAAAAATATTAAGCAACTTAAGTTACTTCTTGACAACATAGAGTATTCATTAACAATACTGAGAAGAGCACGCTGCTCACAGTGTCTAACCGGGTACGAACCAAACATCTTATAATAGGAGTATTTGCAAAATTTGCGTAAAACATTCTCTAAGAGATTTATGTAGATTTGCTGATAAGGTTTCCAAATTACACTACGTACTCCATTTTTACTTCCCGAGCGTAAGCAAAGGAAGTATTGTAATCGAGTCCGTCGGCCGACTCTCTTCTTTTACGTTTTCTCGATCTTTCATGACCCCTAGAAGACGAAGAAATAGGTCTCCCATTTCCGTCTGTCTGTCCGTCTGTCCGTCTGTCCGTCCGTCTATCCGTCTGTCCGTCTGCCGTCCCGGATTTTTATTAGACAGATAATCTCCGAAAGTACTCAACCGATTGTTGTGAAATTTTGTACTTATATTAAGAATATCATGTAGATGGTAAAACGCTAACCAAAATTTGTCTAATCATCCCCACCACTAATACGATGACGTCACTTCAAAATTGTGCATAGTAAATGGGTTTTCAATTGTATAAAATAACATAGTCCTACACATGTAGTTTACAACTCTGAATCGACTTTTCACCCGAAACGTCCAGATTTTTGGAAAAAAAATCAAAATTATCAAACAACATTTTGAAATTTAATTTTTAATCTGCTAACTAGAATGCTTTGAAATGTTGCAGATGTTTTAAGGCTATAAAGAGCATCATAAATCTTTAGTCAAAAAATATTTGCTTATCCCCTCCAAAAACTTGATGATGTCAGCTCAAAAGTTTGTGGAATAAATCATATCTAAAATGTACAAAATATGATGAGTCTGTACTTGTGATCTATCACTCCATTCATATTTTTTGGATTTGCATATACAGGGTGACTCAAAAAAATAATGAATGCGTAAATATGTTTTATTGATTTAATCAGGAACTACAAAACCGAATGCTCTGAAATCTTGCAGATGTTTTAAGGTCATAAAGAGCATAATAAATGTTTAGTCAAAATATATTTGCTTATCCCCTCCAAAAACTTGATGACGTCAGCTCGAAAGTTTGCCGAATAAATCATATCTAAAATGTACAAAATATGATGAGTCTGTACTTGTCATTTATCACTCCATTCATATTTTTTGGATTTGCATATACAGAGTGACTCAAAAAAATTAATAAATGCGTAAATATATTTTATTGATTTAATCAGGAACTACAAAACGAAATGCTCTGACATCTTGCAGATGTTTTAAGGTTATAAAGAGCATAATAAATGTTTAGTCAAAATATATTTGCTTATCCCCTCCAAAAACTTGATGACGTCAGCTCGAAAGTTTGCCGAATAAATCATATCTAAAATGTACAAAATATGATGAGTCTGTACTTCTCATTTATCACTCCATTCATATTTTTTGGATTTGCATGTACAGGGTGATTCAAGAAAATAAATGAAAGCGTAAATTTATTTTACTGATTTACTCAGGAACTACAAAACCGAATGCTTCGAAATCTTGAAGATATTTTAAAATTATCATAAGCATGGTAAATTTTTGATCAAAATGTATTTGGTCGTCCCCCTAAAAAAATTATGACGTCACCACAAAATTTTGCTGAATAAATCCTATCTAAAATGTACAAAATATGGTGAGTCTCTTCTTGTGATTTATCATTCCATTCAAATTTTTTCGATTTGCATATACAGGGTGACTCAAAAAAATTAATGAATGCGTAAATTTATTTTATTGATTTAATCAGGAACTACAAAACCGAATGCTTTGAAATCTTGCAGATGTTTTAAGGTTATAAAGAGCATAATAAATTTTTAGTCAAAATATATTTGGTTATCTTCTACAAAAAACTGATGACGTCAGCTCAAAAGTTTGCCGAATAAATCGTATCTAAAATGTACAAAATATGATGAGTCTGTACTTGTGATTTATCATTCCATTCATATTTTTTAGATTTTCTTAAGAGGTGGTTCAAAAAAATTAATGAAGTCAATTTATTTTATTGATTAAATTAAAGGCAACACTTATTATTAGTATTACACCCCAACCAACCCAATTTGGTAGACACAAAATTTGTTAAAGGAAAAACTCGGTTGAAACATAAGGGTAGCACGCTTATTTACATCGACTTTAACATTACAGACCTGCATTTGTTTTATACGCTCACTTGGTTCCGCGAATGTGAAATAGACATGTTTATAATCAACCAATTGTGAATTTCACCGTCAAGAATTAAAATAAAACCCAATGTTTTATATAATAAGCGGAAGTCGAAGCAATAAAACCGATGGTCGTTTTGTTTACAGTTTCTCTGTTTGACTCTCACGTATGCTGTTACGCTTGTCATCTTAAATTAAGAATGTTTATACATAAACGATTTTCAGTTGCCTCTCATATTACTAGACAGCGGATTTCTGTCGGGCTACGTCACGATTATAGGTGGGGAGGCGCTGGATCGCCGGGACTCAGTAGCGGGTGATAGATAATCACTGAATTTAATCGGTACTAATTACATAAATATAATTAACGATTTATTAATCAAACAGCTAAGTAAATGAGAACGGGAATTAACTGCAGAGTGCAACGAAACAGCGTTATTCTAATCTCAAATCAACGAAGTGCAGTCCGTAACCGCAATGAATTCGCATCCCGTACGAGCCGTACCGAGTTTGGTCTTGCCTAGCCCGACAGAAATCCGCTCTCTACATATTACACACCGGCGCCGTATACGTGAGTAAATTGTTTCGTTATTTTATTGATTATAAGAAATCAATAATTAAAACGACCCAATTCATTTTCCCGAAAATTTGGGAATACAATAATTTTATTCTTAGCATTACACTACATCTATCCCAACTGATATACGTGTCCTTGCAAAAATGTTGATGACGTCATCGCAATTTTTTTTTAAATTCCCACTACAAAAATGTAATGAGAAAAAAAAACACAATAGGCATGCAGTCGTCAAGTTTCCGACAGCGAGGGAAGTACTGTCTAAACTCTTTAGACCAATTTTTTTTTTTTGTAATATGTATTTGTGTATACTTATCCGGAGTTATGTACAAGTATCCATATAGATCTTTGTCTGTTGGATAATAAATTACGATTATTATTATTATTATTATTGTTGAATGTCACTACGGATTAAAATACACTGGGGGGTGTAGTTGAAACAGTTTTCTTTCGAAAGGTAACCGATTTTTAAAAATGTAACAATAAGGATAAAAAGTTGAAAACACTGAAATAAACAGACGAACATAAGATATTAATCCTTGAAACCGGATTTACGTTTAGAGTGACGTACTTATTAGATTATTTATAAGTAAAAATACTATAAACTCATCATCATCACTAAAAAATACTCACCTAGCAATAATTGGTAACAGCTTCGTATACATGATTAAATTTTATTTTTTAAGTTTTTAAAATTAAGGACCTATATAAAGTTCTTAAAGACCTAAAATCAAATTGAATTTAATTAGTCAGTTGATCAGGAAGAATGTATCATGCAGTTTCGCATTTGTTTATTTAATTATTGCAATAATAATAATAAAATTAACAGTGTAACAGCTTTTTCATTAAAAGTAAACATTTTAATTAAGTTTTGTTGAACTAAAGTTTTTACATTGTGAGGAAACAAATTAATCATCAGGAACTAGCGAAACTGTACTAAAGAAGAGGTCAGATCTCTTCACAAACAAACTATGTAGTTCCAATTTTTAAATTTCTAAAATCCTATCCATGTTCCTTCAATTTTACAAATCTGATCTTCGTAATTGGTAGCCTTAATCAATTCGCTGTTATCAGAATCATATAAAAAGAATGAGTTAATTTATAAAAAAAAAATGTTGTGTTTTCACTGGCAGCGGTTTTGGTGAATTAATTGTTAGGACGTCGCCGTTGTTAAAAATGTCAGTAATAAGTGACACCTCAATCAAACGAAGTACAGGCCAAAATCGATGACAATAATAAAAAGTACAAAAATATTTCTAAAATTTTTATTTTTAATAGATACCTATACCTATGTATATTATGTACCTTCAAAATTGTGTGCAAAAATTTTCTGTGTGTAAGTAAGTTTTTCAAAGGCAGCAAAAGTCATAAGGAAACCGTGTACAATACCTGGGTTTACTTTTTTTTTTGTTGATGCGGTTTCATTTTCCCACTAGAAGAAGAAGTGGCATCTGCGTTATGGTTTATGACATTTTGAACCTGTTCATAGAAATCAAATTAAAAATTAATATACTACTGAATTTTTTATAACACATTAAGATTTAATCGATCAATATAATTATACCGTATGATTAATAAAATCACAGCGAAATTAGAATTTTTTTAATGTTGTTTAAATAATAATGCGAAGAAGTTGCAAAGGCGACAACTATAAGAAATTCTCAGGGTTTACTTAATAAAAGTAATTAAAATGTTACCTTAATATGAGAAAAAAACACTTTCTATCTTTTAAACTCATCGTAAAATAACTTGCCGACTGTAATAAATTAAGTATTGAGAAGCCTAGTTTTTCAAAAGAATAGCAATAAATAATTTTATTGTTGTTACCTTATCTCGTATCTAATAAATGTGGTTAATCAGGTTTACGAACACTATTAACAAATAGAATGCCACATCAAAGATCACAACAAATTATATCAAGGTTTTAATGGGTACACATGTATCTGCACTAATGTTGTTTAGGCATTAATACATAATGTTAGTTTATCTTCTAGATAAAAAATGTACAAATAATATTGTGATAACTGTGTAAGTACATAGAAAATATTTCATAGGAAGTAGATCGTAATTTATTAGATCTCCTTTGCAAATATTCAGTTAAATTTTAAAATTCAACCCTCGTAATGCAAATGGACATTGAGTTTTTGTAAGACCTATAAGTTCTATTACGTACAATATTTGATGAATATTTTTTTATTTGCCATCCGTAATCTAAGGGCGACTGGCTACTTTCATATTTTCTCGACGTTTCATGACCCCTAGAGTACGAAAACATAGATCTGGCTGTCTGTCTGCAGACTATCCGGGTTTTTATTAGACAGATAATTTCTGAAACTACTAACTAGACGGTAAAACGCCAACCAAAATTTGTCCTACTCATCCCCATGGTGATGAGGTCACCTTAAAATTGTACACAGTAAATAGGTTTTAAACTGTATAAAATAACTCCTACAAGTGTAGTTTATGAATCCGTGTTGGGTTTTTAGCCTAAATCAATGGCCTAGACGACCAGATTTTTTGAAAAAAAAAATTAAAATTAAAATCTTTAAAAAAGTTTAACTTTGAAACTTCAAAACCGAATATTTTAAAATCGCACTCGTTTTAAGGTTATTGCAAGCGTGATAAATCGTGAATCAATTGATGACGTCAAAATATGATGAGTCTATACTTGTAATTTATCACTGCGTTCATATCTTTTTAAATGTGTGTACAGGGTGACTCAAAAAATTGTTGAATGAGCCATTTATTTTATTAACTAAATCAGGAACGGCAAAATTAATTTAAAAATCGTGCAGACGTTTTAAAGTTATCGTATGTATGATAAATTTTTAATCAAAATTCGCCATTCTAAATTATTTCGATATTATGGAATATTGCGTTGATTATTGGAGTAATACAATCATATGGGTACCGCGTCAATTCGTCGCGCACAATTCGTCGTGCGACAATTGATCGCAAACAACTGATGGCAGCGTCAATTGGTCGCAGCGACAACTGGTAGCAACGACAACTGGTCGCAGTCACAATTCATCGCAACAAAATTCGTCGCAAGTACGACAGGTCGCATGCGACAATTGATCGCAGGCGAAAAATTACAGCGTTTATAGAGAAAATAAGTAATTGTTATGAATCAGGAAATAAAATAAAGTGCTATATTCTCAAAAATGTCCTTATTTCTAAAAAACTGTCAAAATAAATACATACGAGTTCCATAAAAACAGTAACTATTAGGCTCATTTCCGACTACACCAAAGTTGCAAAAAAGTGAAAATATTGTAAAATAATGTTTTTAATGCTGACACATATTTCGTCGGTATGCTACTGTAATGTTCATTTGGATTATTCGTCTTATTAATTAGACACTCAAGTAAGTGATTCATGCTTTTTTTCTCACAAGTTTAAAGTTTGTCAACGAAACGAGTGAAACAAATAGCTTTCAAAACGTGTTACATGTCATTTTTTTTAATAAAAAATGGCTTTAAAATTATTGTAACTGTCAAATTAAAAATTTATAGATTTATCATAATCAATGAAATCGTGAAAAAACTCTCGTTACAGTTTTAAGTGAAAAAGTAATATTTTCATTACGTTTGATAGTTTAAAAAATTAAGTATATATTTCTTTTTATAAATTTGGTGCAAAGAAATTTCAATTTATATATTAACAATTAATCTTGGAGTTTACTGCATTCTTTGCAGAAAATTTTTTGGTCACTACATATTAGTTCTGGATTATCTTTAATCCATGATAAAACCAAAGATGTTTTTTCATTCAGAACTTTTTTGAACGTTCACACTGTTAATGAGGCGCTTGTAGATACGAAAGAATGAATAATTTAAATCATTCTCTTTGCTAAGTACCTGCATACCAATCTCCACTTTTACGCGATTTGTGTAAACAGGATCGTAAAAAGCTTAGTTTTGACCGCAAAAATTATACTCATTAGTACTGGAGGAAGTGCCAGACTTAAAATGATGGTTTCGAGCCAAACCGTCATAAACAGTACCCTTCATTACCCAGATAAGACTGCCGATGACAGTGACGTACAGTTTTTTTTTTTTTTTTGAAGCGGCTCATGGAATAAAAATTGTTGAATAAAACAACGCACATAACAGATTTACATATATTATCTATTAATTAATATTATTTAAAATATTTAAATCAATCAATACATCACGAGTAACAAGTAGTACAAACAGTGAATACCGTTAAAAAGTAGAAACAACCAGGATGACGACGCCCTGAGTAGTGGTTATTCACAATGGCGTTACTAATTTTTAGCTTGGGAAGTTTGAAAAGTTTATTGAGGAGCATTTCACTCGGAAGGCCGACTATTCACTCAGAATTATTTGCTTAATCTGCCGGATGTAGTTGGGCAGATGTAAACTGCGGCTTTAATCTTCTCCAGCCCATGTTGTAAATTTTTGTAGTATGCAAAGTGCGGAGTATAATAAAATCAGGTAGCAGCCCGTAGCAGGGTCATTAATGGAAAACTGCGAACCAATTATTTCTTCCTTGTTTTTAGATCTAAGAGTTGTTTTATACGTCACAGAAATATTTCGTAAAAAGAATTTTTAGAAATAATTTTCTCGTGATTAATCGATTGCAAAAGATCAAAAGGCACTCGAAGCAAGCGCTGACAAACTAATAAGTTTGTCAGCCGCTAATAAGTGGCGCCAGCGGAGATCTCCAACTGGCTGCGGTACCACCATGGGCACTCACGTAACCTCCATTTCCAGAATTGTCAAAATGACATTGCCAAACTCAAAGCAATCATGGATTAAGCATTTCATTTTAAATTCAGTTAGTATGGAGTGGTACACGATATTCGTATTTTGGGTTGCGTAAAAATAATTTTCAGAAGTAATTTTCTCGTGACTAACCCTGTATATGTATTTTTTACACCCACATATGGTACTACTGAATTTTTCTTCAGTACAATACTAGTCACATAATAATAATTAAAAAGTAAGTTTTTAGTTGCATAAGTACCTACATTTCTTAAATTTCCCTTAGATAACACAAAATTATTCTTAACGCTCTTACAAAAGTTTTTGCAATATATGTATATTTACAATACACGTAAACCTTTCTCAAACCCTGTAAAAATCCTCTGCAATTTACAAGGGATTAAAACAAGTATTATATCCGTCCAGTAGAATTTACATTCGCTGCATATGGATACTCTAGATGTATGTACTATTAGTTCATAAATTTTACTGTTTGGTGATATGTATACAGGCAAGAATAGACAATAGAGGCAATTCTGTATCAAAATGTGTTAAAATTTAAAGGTTGTTAAAAATATGATTTTTTAAATAATTGTATAATAAATCTAGTTAAGAACAATAAGCATTTTTTTTATATTGAGTGCTTATTATAATGAAGCTAGTTCCTATAATATAATAGGTAAAATAAGCAACGACATAAATAGTAACAATCTCTTAAAAAAAATATGTACCAAGGTGTTTACGCTCGTATTTTTTAATTTTGAAAGTGCAACTACAAACTTCCTCACTTATCGATATTCAAATTGTTTTTAACTCGATATTTACACCTTACCTGATTGCTAAATTTATTGCAACTTAAAATTCAGAATACAAAATATTTAGTTTTAATTAAAGAAAATACTTCCCGATGAATTTTACCTTGCGACCAATTGACGCTGCGATAAATCAATGTGTTTTATTTCAAAATAGGCTAATGTTATTGTTAAAACACAACTCGAGTAAGCTGGAGTGTTTTAATTCCAAGCAGATAAAATAAATTATTCTTTGGGTTAACGTAATGTCTAATGTCACAAGTTTAGTTAAAAAAAACTGATTTGTAATCAATGAGAACTAGTGATAATTTTCTCAAAAACACAGAAACTACGAAACAATTTTATACCAAAATAAAAGTAATAAAAACTAACTTTGACATATCATAATTATTTTGATAGCATGCTTTAAAAGTGTTCCCGTCATGAACATTAGCAAATCTGGAACATATTTAAATTTCACAGGTCCCTAGCTATATGAAACATTTTTGAAACCTTTCTAATTTGTACAGGTGTCTATAAATTATTATAGGGTCGAAGTAGGTCATGAAAACGTGCCACCTCTAGTTTTTTGACTTTACTAAATGCCCAAAGACGACAAATACCACACGTATAACTGGTTGCCTAAATGCTTCATATCTTATTAAAAAATAATACTAACGCTAATGCATTAAATACATTTGTTGCGGTTAAACATCACAGTAAATGTGCATTTGTAACACTATTACCACAATTTAAACATACAGACATAATTCTAGTGGGAAAAAGTCAGGGACACACGTTTCATCGGCCTATCAGGGTGACTGACATCAATAACAACTTGAGGTGGCTACGGAAGGGTTAGTAAAGTATCAGAAAGACAAAGGAAGCAAAAATACTAAATAATTCGCGTAAGTGTAGAAACACTGTCAAGGTTGTAGGTAGGTAAACAAAAAAAGGTATAATAATCAACAGACCTATGACCTCTCCCAGAAGTAAGTACCTTCCCAGGCACTCTACGTGATAGGATCCGGATTAATGGTTCGGTAAATAATGGGCCCATTGAGCACTCCTCAAAAAAACACCACACTTTTATATTAAGATGGTATACGGTAATAAATATGATAAGATTTGTTGGAGCTCGATGTAATGCGTAGAATACGTTTTAATTTCACTATGATAAATCTTTTCAAAGATGTTTGCGGATACTGCTCACGTCGTCTTAAATCATCAACAACTTCCTCGGATGTTGAAGATCTTCCAGGAGATTTCCTTTTGTCGACACTGCCAGTTCGAACAAATCTGTTGATTACCTCTCTAATGTGAGCTTCTAACGATGTTTCTTGAATTATCAAATCACGGTATTTGGCCAGATATTTTTGATTACAAGCGGTTACAGAATACACCCTCCGTTTACGAATGTCTCATTGCGATAATAATGAAAGTGTCTTGTTCAACAGAAGAAACCATTTTTACGGTCTTCGCTTCCTAGAAAAGAAAAACAAACATTTTCGTACACAAGCACCCAGAGTTTTGAAAACGACTATTTTGTTGTTGAGAATTATTGTAATTCACACTTGAAAAACTTTAAAACAATAAAAACGATGACTTTAAGCAAACAAATGACATTAATGACAAGTAAGAACTGCCATAATGAGGCATAATTTCAACCATCGCCGACTAGTATAAAGATTATGGCCTGTCCAAGAGGTATCATACGTGTTGCCATCTATTAACACTTAATAATTTAGCACAATTTTAATTTGATTTGATATTATGAGACTTCAAAACGTGCAATGGTCGTTTGTTTCGGTATGAATGCCTTTGTGCCTTTCAAAAAGTGTTAATAATTCTTTTATCGTTTTTAAATTATTAATAGATGGCAGCACGTATGGTACCTTTTGGACAGGCCATAATCTTTATACTAGTCGGCCATGTTTCAACGAAGCGAGATTTTGGAAATCCGTGGTCAACTACGCCCTTAGAATCATTTATGAAAACCCTGTATATGCCAAACACAGGTTTTTTCTAAAGGATTGAAAACTGGTAACTTCATTGTCATATTACTGCAGGTAATTATGATGGTTAAACGTTCTACCACTCATGATGCCAGTTAGTATAAATCATTATTGATTATCATTTATAGATTAATATTTATGAACTAATGGCTATTAATAATATTAATCGTTTTCAATGTGTTTCGTCTCTGTTGTACATAAGTAAAGTCAAAAAGTTAAACCAGTTTTCTGTAAACTAAAAAATATTAACAAAAACCATTCGAAGAAACTGCAATAATAACTTATGATAATAACAAAATATCTGAATATCAGTTGAAAAAAACACATTTTTAAAAACGGTGAACGATTAAAACAATAAAAAAAAACGTATTTTCGAAGAAGCGTACATTACAGTGCAGAATTAATTAACTACATGCTTTTTCAGTTTATGAAAAAATACTACAGCTGTACTTTTGAACTTAGAATTTCTCGATCAAGCGATCCGGAATGATACATATAGTGAAAAAAGAAGCCAATACAGAAACGGTAGCTATATTTCTTAATAATTACGTCATTTATATGAGAATAACAGTATTACAATTTGAAGTTGCACAAAATTGTCAGTGAACTCCTAACTAGAGTGTATAGTCACTGAATTGGTGAACTATGAGTCTATTATTACTGTTACAGGTTTGAACATAAAAAAATATGTAATGGTTATAAATAACTTGTCAGAGATATATCTTTGAGTTTGCCCATCTCAGAGGGTACATAAATAGATTCGATTTTTAAATAAAGCAAATAAAGTTTAATTACGATGCCTTTAGATTGTTTTATACTTGTAACCGCCATGCTGGCAATTGAAACACTTATTACGTTCATTTGTTTAATGTACTGTTAGCATCAGAGCCCTCGCTTATGCTCTTCTTCAGACGGGTTCTAAATACATTATTGATCTAACCCTCCAGGAAACAACATCAAACAATCATCTGTTCTACATTGGTTTAACTAGCAGTCCCTCCCTTCTTTCACGCTGAATATATCGTCATTCCTTCAAAAAATTCGCCCACACCAAACCAACAATTTAAGCCTCATTTCTCCCGAAATCAACTCGCCCATTCCCCGCATCCAACCTTGACGTTCCTTGCCAAAAAACCGCACGTAACAATCGGCAGGTAAAAAAACCCCGTCACGTGTATCCCGCACCCTTGACCCGCTCCCGGTCACCGTCGCCGCAATCCACGACCTTCCCTCAAATCTCTTGTTACTTTTCGGATGTAAGTGGGCCGCGCGTTCTATTTCCAGCCATTCCTGCGTATGGCTAAACAAACACGGCCAACGCGATAAATACACCTCGACACAATCGACCACCGAAACGCGCGGATTTTCCAAAATACTCCTCAATGGCGCGGTGGAGGGGCGGCGTCGTGACGTCGGCGTCTGTGCTGGACGACGTCGCCGAGCGCGAACCACCAGCCTGCAGTCAGTGTCGAACGCCACCAGTCGCTCACCACGACTCGTTAACTAACGCCACTTAGGTCAGTACAGTGAGTTCTAGTGCTAACCCTCTAACCCTGTAAGTACAATACGCCCCCGGGCCGAACACCGCTGCCCCTGGTTACTGCCGCATTTTTCAGCGGTTTTGACGTTCCGGTGCTAAATTCAGCGGGCTATTTCGGGGCACACGCCCCGAATGGAAGCGCACGGACGCAGCATTACGTAACGCGAATTTGGAGAAAAATCGGGTTCAACGTTTTGCCAATTTTGGCGCACGTGCGGCGTTTGGGCCAAATATGTCCCACGGGCTTTATTATTAAACCCGTGAAACGGATAGTTTGCGAAACGGTGAGGCCATGGCTTAAGAATGCATCGGCCAAAAATAGAATCAGCACACGCGATAGTGGATGGGCCTGGGCCTCTAGCCAAATTAGTACGGGATGGCGTGGCTTACGGACTCCAAAGCTCACCAAGTGGTGGAGCTTTTCACTTGCTTCTGCGGACTACTACTGGTGATCGTCTACATCGCGGTCATCACCTAACGAACCATCACCGAACCCCACTAACACTACTAAACCGGCTAACCCTGGACGGTTCCCTGTATGGCTTTTCGAAATTTTCGACCCGCAACTCAACCTTGTTTTTTTTCAGCAGACGAACGACGAGGCTTCAGCAGTAGAGGTAGCAGCGAATCCCAGAACTCAAAATGTTCAAGAACCACTTAGAGATGATTGGCCGCAATGAGACGGCTTCCAAAAAAGCGAAATTCTGGCAGTCCTTTGTCGGATCCCTCAAAGGTAATCTAGTTTGTTGAAAATGCTGACGGGAGCGAAGCTGGTGCCTTATAAACGAAGCTTTTCCCCCTCCAAGTTATATTTGATCCCTCCTGAAACCTAAACCGCAACGAGTAAAAATAACCTTGTATCAAATTTTGGGAGGGTTTGCCAAAATTTATGCCATCTGGTTTTCGAGGTCGTTTTCAAAAAAGAACAAACTGGTTTCGCTCCTGCGTAAAACTAATAGCTAAATATGTACGTGATGGCGGTTTTGGAGATTAAAGTCCAAACTTTGTTACGTGAGCTTGATAACGTATGTAACTTCGAACTTGCGTATTTTTGGTAATTGCTGAAATAACCTTGATCTACTGCCTCGGAAAAAAGCCATTTTACTATTTTTAACGGTAAATGATTAATGGTAAACGCGCGCTTTGCCAAATGAAACAGAATTGAATCAACAGACAAAAAAATAGCCGAATACCTTAACAGTTACTACAAGGTGTTTTTCACATTTACAACTAGCTGATGACTTGATCGTCTGCCTATTTTTAAACATTTTTTGTATTTTTGTACTCGTGTTTTGCTGTGACAGTGACACAGAGTGTGTGTCATTCAAAATATATTTTGTTTACATTTTTTCAAGCAGCTATTCTGTAACTTTTTATGCTCAGAATAATAGCAGTTTGATACATAAATTTACGGTTAAAAAATAAATAATTAAATCAAATCGAAACCAAACCAATCGAGCGATAAGTTATAGCTATGTTTATAATTCTTAAATGATTTTGTGGATAGATTAGTGGAAACTAGTAGACTAAATTTGAACGAACACATTTAATTGAGATGTAAATAGCAATGATCTAAAATATACCTAGACCAATTAAGCATAATCAAGTAACGTACTTTCGGCTAAAAATAAGTCTTCATCGTGACTAATGCTAATAAATAAGTTTGGAAATTGGCTACGCTAACAGAAATGGCGCTAATAGGTTTTGCTTCAACAAATTAAAATTTCAGCTTGACTATGAAGACAAAAAAAGCGCACATAAAATATAGATAACTTGCCATATTCAAATAAATAGAAATATTTAATCAATCTTTGGAGGCTATAATTTTACCTATACAACTAATTTCAATTTATATAGCAGGGTGTTGAAGTAATTTCTACGAAAACAGAAAGTGATATTTACAATGTAATTACGCACTTATACAAATAATTACATACTACTTACTTTCTTTTTAAAAAAATTCGAAACATTTAGAAATTCCAAACACTTAGAAGCCTAAAAGTTAAATATTGTTTAACGTTACTTTCAAACCTAGGTTGTTATTTAAATTCCACTGAAAATTAGTAGGTTACCACAGAAAACAACTGGAAATAAAAAATATTATAATTTTGGAAAAATTAAAAATGTAGTTACTTTTCTTCGATTCTTTATTCCCTTCGGTCGCCTCAAAGACAATGTTGTTCTGTTGATGATCTTTTAGTGTTTATAACGCACATTTTGTTTTAATTCTATTTTTTATTTATTTATTTTTTTTTTTGTTGTTGACTGCATAAAGTGGATACAACAAATTCTCAACAATATAGGTACAAAATATTAACTTTACGATTATCAAATATTATCACACTTAGAATTATGGAGAAGTGCTGTGTTGTTTATTATTATTTTTAACATTTGCACTCTACGCTACACTTTCTGTTAGAAGTATAAATTATTGTTTTGGTAAGAGTCATTTACATATTTTTTTTTCTATGTCTGTTTCATTTAGGCTTTTTTATTTTTTCCACATCAACATATTTTCTCTGGTAGCTGCTAATTTTAAGTGCACGATGATCCATCCTATTCTGGATGAAATACTCCTTCCACCAAATTTGGGGTCTTATTACATTCATCACATAAATAAAAAAAAACCGGTTGCTTCATTTTAGAAAGCTTTGAAAATTGATTACAGTTTATTGTATAATTGTACATATATGTAAACATAAATGCAAAAGTTCCCTCACTTTTAAAGCACAACAATTATACTATTTATTGCGACGAAGTTTTCGAAAGGTTTCTATGTTAAATTTTTGAGGTTAACAGTTTTCTGGAGGGACTGAATACATTTTTATTAGCAATTAGCAGATTGATTTTCGTAATTGGCATTAGTACCTAGGTTCTTAGAAATTGAGTCACTTTTCAAACACCTGTGTTTCGGTGGAGGACGTTTTCAGTCAAAATTCATGAGACTAATGTTGTCCCAAAATGTACGAAGACTTGATGAAATCATGTTTTTAAACATTTTCAAAAATTAAAAATATATAAAAGTACAAGCCGTATAATTTCAAAACGGAAAAAATAAGTAAGTTTTAGTTTATGCTTTGCAATTTCTGAACCAGTATTAGCGTTTTACTAAATTTTGAAAAAGTAACTCTAAATTTGTGAGGTAAACTCTAAAATTTTGTGGTTTAAACCTAATTTATTAGCATAATAAACTTTCAAAGTAATAAACCAATCGATAGATAACAAAGCACAAACAAACAAACAAACAAACAGAAACAAGAAATTCACATCTTTACTATTTTCTATAAGCTATCAACCAGGAAGTAATAACAAAATTTACTTATTTATAATTAAAAGCGTGGCGTCATACCGAAGCCGTATCTACCGAATACTTTGTTAATTCGTCAATAATAGCATTTTTAAGCCCTGTGTGACTGAAGTCACATAAACTTTGAAAGCACAGTATATCGTTCAAATCTAGTTCTGTAAGATAATGACTGTAACACTGGAACTGAAGATCTAAAGAAAAGTTCTAATCAATAATTTCTAATAAGTTGTTAGCGGGTCATTCAAAGTTCAAGTTATTTTTGAACTATTTTAAGCTAGTTGCTATTTATCCTTTCAGTATCTAAATTAAACACTTGTACAAATATGTATTCATTTCATATACAAAAATTTGTCTAAGGTTATTTCAAGAGAACTTCCCTCGTTCTTGCAGTACAATCTAGCAAATTTCGCTTCTTTGAAATTTATAAAATTTGATTTTGCGATTTTTGTTTTGTAACGTAGATAACACCCCCGCAGCAAAGCACATGTGCAGACAATGTGAATATATTTAAAACAGATAACCAACAAAAAAATGCTTTCTCTATTTCTCAGTACCAGCTTAAATCAAATGAAAAAATTTTGGTTAATTTTACCATGCTTACGATAACTTTAAAGCATTTGCAAAGCATTCACTTTAAGAGTTTCTAAGTTAAATTGTAAAATGGTATACCACCAGTGCAAGAGTATCTTATTTTATAAAATTTAAATAACATTAACTATTGTAAATTTTGGATATGACGTCATCCCATTGTTGGTAGGGATAACAAATTTTGGGTAGCGTCTTATCCTTTAGACAATATTCTTAAATACATATAAAGTTTAAAACGGGAGACCTACGTTTTCGTACTTTTGGGGTCATTAAATGTCGCGAAAACATGAAACTAAACGGTTATCCGATGGACTCGATTACAATACTTTTTAAGGTTACGTCTGGGAAGTTAAAAGAAGCAAAATGTAGCGATTTTACCGAATTTGAATAGCACCTTTAGGCAAAAAGATATTAAAAACTCTTATTTTGTGAATATCTCAAAGCAGTTAAAGTTCAATACTTATCAATACTTATCAATAAATAACAAGTAAAGTTCAGAACATAATTCCGAGAATATTTTTAAAGCAGGGTTTAGTTTTGTCAGATCAATTTTTTTTATTATTTTTGAAAATAATTGATTGTACAAACAAGTGGAATATTTATATCCACTAAACTTTGTGTATCACACACAGAAAATGTTTTTTCTGCAAAGATTTCATCACTTGAAGACTGAAAATTTAAAAATGTAATGATGTGCACAATTTTTAACTGTGATCTCTGGGTGAATGAGTTTGATGAAAAAATGTGGCAGACACCATTAAAGAGCATTTTTATAGACTAGCCACGTCAATGAAATATTTGTTTACCTAACAGATGGAGTGATTACGTACGTTTCACGTGCCTACAAAATGGGCGTCCAAGTTTACACGGTAACATCAAAATAGAACTTGTAAAGAATATCAGCGGAATATTTGAAAATTTTTTGCCTGTGTAAAAATGGATCTTAATTATATTCCTTGTTTATGAAAAAAGATATAGTGTGATCCAAAATGTTTCTTACAACGAGCGGGCAGGGAAAACAAATTCTCATCTCTCTCTCTCACTTCCTCCCATCGGATTCCAATATAAGGGTAAAATTATTTCATTAGTAAATGTTATTTATTATTATTGTTTTTTTATCACTTTATAACAATCAGTTTAATTAAAAAAAAGCACCTCAAATTTACAGTAAAAGTGAGAAGTTTTTTGGTAAATTAATAGATGATTTGACATACGAAGCCATCTTTAAAGAAGTATATACTAAATTAAAACGTTTTTTTTTACAATTAAAAAAAGATACATAGAAATACGTAGAAATATTTTGTGGATAGATAGTGTTAAATTTAAGTAGTAGTTTATATTAGCTACACTGCATAAGTAAGAATGTAATTTTTGTGTTTGAGTAATGAATATTTTTTGCAGGATCACAAGACATAAGAGCCAGCGAGCCGGTCCGGGCCAAAGGCATCTTCCGCCCACTGAGCGACCTGCCCGAGCTGGGCAGCGGGTGGCCGTTCGGCAAATCGATCTACGACGATCCGATCCACGCTGCTGAACGCATCCACACCCCCGGTTACAGATACGACCCCTTGCACCGGGACACCTACGGGTACTCTCCTCGTCCGATCTACCCCCACAACTACGGCTCCCTCGACAGATACCGGCCCGGTAAGTCAAAGCAGTAGGATGATCGTCACCCACCATCAGGGCCCACTTCGTGCTGTGACCTCATGCAATCGTCTGTGTTTAACTAAGTGCCCTACAACTATGAACTTATATACTATAATATACTCTACATAGTAGCTTCGCCACACATGTGAATTAACATACAAACACAAAACTCATTTTACATCGTCCACTTTTCGGCGCAGTCGCACTTGATGTGTTGTTCTTTTTTTCGTTTTTCATTGGAGATGGATATTTTGTACACCACAGTACACACATGTAACCGATCTATTTTATGTATTTGATAATCTGTCTCTACGATGTACAAGAAACTTAAGTACTTAATAAATATTTTAAAAAGCGTCAAACCAAGCCGCCCCGCAAACGCTTGAGCTCTCGTTCGTCGGCCGGAAATCGTCGGGATTTTTTTTTTGGTTCCGTTAATTGGTTACTAAACTTCACGTTTATTGTAGCTTTATCACCTTAGCACGGCTGAAGGCTTTTTAACGTTCCTGCTGCTCCAGCATTTGCCAGGGCGATCCACGTCTCAGTTTTTTTCGACACCTTCCTCTTTATTTTTGTGCTGTCATTTTTTTCCCGATGGGAATAAGTGAGAAGTTGATTATGAAGTTTTTTGAGGGAGGCGCGGAGTGTTCGGTCGCCTTGGAGGTAAGGACATGTGATGCTTATTAGATGCCTTAGCCAGCATTGTATTAACATAGATTACAAGACTAATATAAAAAAAAAAACACTTATTTTGGGTGAGATTTTTGTGTAAAAAAGTAGTGGGAAGATTTTGGTTCCGATATTTCATTTTACATGAAAGAGATGTTTCTTTCAAATAACATAATGATAAAGTTTGTAATACAATTTAGGTTTGGAAACCTTAATTGTATTGAAAAAGTTATTTAAAAAATTGGTGATGGAGTTCAACACGTATCCACCTCATCAATTCATATGTAACAATAATTTTATATGTTTTAATAAACTTCATCAACTATCATTGCGATGACATCGTCACTGAAAAAAAAATTCATATGTAATTCGTCTACGATATTTACTAACTAATGCCACAATGTAACGACCATTATTTTCAGTTAAATTTAATAAGATGTCATTAATTAACAATTTATAAAACAACATTTTTTTTGAGAGCTGTTACGGTTTGATGAAGAAGAGCACAACATTTCTTTCTTAAGAATATTGTTCTATTTTCAGTTATTTTTGCACATAATAATAACTTTATTGCCACGCAAAAAATGTCCATTCTTCTATAAATGCTGCTGCAAAAACTATAGAAGATTCTAGATATTGTTAAGATTTTTATCTATTACCATCATCTTCTTGTGGATATCTATAGAATTTGTTTGTGTGGGGTATGGACAGCTAAATCTAGTACGTAATTTTATTCCCCTTTGTATACTTACTACTTCTGCGTGAAATAATTCCTGTAAATCTGACTCTGAAAAACTGTTCCCTTTAAAATGTGTCAAGTTTGTGACAGCAGATAAATCAAAATGTTTCGGTGGTCCCAATTATTATAATATATTCTATTACTTATTCTTTAAATTATTGTTCAACACGTTTGCTTTCATTTCCACACAATATTTTGATTATTAAATCTTTTTTTTTGTAATTTTGACTTCTTTCTTTTCTACCCACATTGTTCTTTCTCCTGCCTTACTACTTTATTTTAAACAGACTGGTGTTGGGTTACTGAGAATTTTAGATGTATCATCTCTTACCTTTCCATTTTTTAGATTCTTTCATCTGTTTGGATTACAATATCTTTTACCTCATATAGTATAAACATAAAAGTGTAAAAGTGCAGAAAGTACTTCTTTCATTCTTTCCTTGTCCGACAAATAGTTCATTTCCTTTCTTTCTTTAGACAATGATGAAAATTTCCCATACCTTGTACAAGTAATACTAGACTCAGTAGTCTTTACGGATTATTACTTACAGATATAGAAAAAAGTTTTGTATACAAAATCTTATTTAAAAAAACACACCAGAAATCTGTTCATTTTACAGTTCCGTCCAGATGTCTCTTAATTTTATTTGCATTTTAAAACATCTGCCAGCTAAAAGTTATGCGTGATCTCATTTGATCTAATGAAAAACTCTATAGATTTTTTCTTAGTAACATTTTCTTCTTTGTGAGGTTGTCGTTTTACCTACTTACTTCCACAGTTTTCTTATGAATTTATGTTAATCAGTTTAGACTTTCCTTCAAGTTCTTTCTATTTTATTAAATGTGTGAAAAAAAAACTTGCCACTCTATGTAACACTAATTAGTTCGTTCACTTAAAAATATGGTATCCAACTAAACGCTTCACAATATGAGGACTTGCTGGGTTTATGTTGAGGTTTTTCCCGAAAAGCAGTAAACCAACCTCCCGAAGTTATATGAGGACTGTCCCCAAATCAAAGGTTCCTTTCTTAAATGTATATCACTTGGTGTGTAAGAAAATCTTTTGTAACCGTGGAGTACCAGCGTCAACTTTTATTTGAGATTCTACACCACTTACAAAAACTTGATTTAATAATATCACTATAAAGCACATCATTATGTTGTCAAGAAAGAAGACAACTTTTGTTTTTTAACTACTCATTCATCTTAGGGTGAATTCAAACTGAGAATATTTTTTTCAACAAAAACGGAATCAAATGAAACTACCGAAAGATCGACAAAGTGATTTATTGGGCCAACATTGATCATTTACAAATCAGTACGATTCAAATATAGTGTATACATAAATAGATTTGAATTTTGAAGTTAAAACTGTTTTGATAATTTTTCCTCATTTATATTTGGTTGTGGGTAATTTTAGCTTAACGATATATATACTTAGGTACATTGAAAGATTTAAATAGTGGTCAACACTCAAGCCAAAAACACTTACATCTTTAATTCTGAAAACTGATAAAAACAGGAATACACACAGTACATCTGTAACAGGCAAAACAAATTCATTAAAACTATCTAGTACTATCTACCTTCACTAGAAAAGTTCGAAATCGCTAATACGGTTAAATTTGTTTTTCATGCAACCTCTAAGATTTAACAACAAATTTTTGGCTGCCACTTCTAAACTTGTGACGTCGTCAACACTTGTGACTTGCCATGTTTGACCTTATTTTATTTTTGTTTCATTATGCAACTGATATTAAGCATTTCGTATGTTTTATACAGGGTTTATTTAACCATCTGAAACTAAGCGTCAAGCAACTATATAAATTAACCATAAAATAGCTTATATCAACGATAAAATATGTGAAATATATAAGGTAAACTTCAGGATTCACCAATTTACTATAAAAAAAAACAAAAATTTTTTTGCATTCCTAAAAAAAACAACAAAATAATATATGCATTTTTTTTTTTGTAAAGCAAACATTCTTAGATGTGAACTTATTGACACTATGATGTATTTTGTAGAAAAAATATTAGGGATTCCAGTTCACTAGAAATGACTAACGGTAATTTTTTGTAATTCAGATGCATTTTTCTGATCACTAAAATTTAAAGGTTGGCGTGAATTTTTTAAAATGCTAGAAATAATTGTCACATTGTTTAGGGCTTAGGGAATATGAACCGATTCGCCTTCCACCGTACCATTGCCAGTACAAGAGACGGCGAATAACTATTTGAAAGCTGCTGAAATTTTGAACGGGTAAATTTTTTCGTGGTTATAGTTATTTAACAAAAAAAAAACACTACAGGCTATAAATCAGAAAAATGGGTTTATTATTAACCCAAATTAAATAAATATGGTATTCAGATAAGCCACAGAAATAACATTAAAAAAATTTTAGTGCTATTTTCCAAAGTTGTTAAAAACATTGCACTAAAACGATTACATTTTCGATAACATGTTTTTTTAACTATTTACAAGTGAAAATTTAGAGTTTCCTTACCCACGGAGACATTTTCATTTTAATTTTACAATCTTTTCTAAATACTTACATGAAACAGTCAAATACCTAACGATATAGGGTAAAATCATACTAACAACTTATGTGATTTTTTGTTTTCCTTTTTTTGTAGCGAGGACGATTTCCATGTAATAGTATAGCTAACAATTAAAATCCTGTGTGCAATAGACAAGGCATATATAAAATCAGCTTTTAATTTATAAACATAAATCTAAACATACTGGTTTTCTTAAACAAGTCTGATTGTCATAAGAAGATCTTTATTTTACCAAAAACTCTACAAAAAGTTTACGTTTTTACTGCTGTGGATTGCCTTTCCAGTTAGTATTTCATGCCTTTTCCGACTTTTGTGACTCACATAACTAATACTAGATTTATTAAAGTACTTAGTACGCATTATAAATAATACATTACAGAAGTCTACCTAAAACTATCATCTACAAAAATAGTTGCAAAAAAAACTTGTTTGCTTTAGTGGTGAGATGAACGTTGTAATTTTTGCGCCTGCCTTTCATCAAAACTCGCTTTGGAGACTGCTGCCCCTACTTCACCTGTCAAAGCCGATAAAATCATCCCAGCTCTTGTTAGTGTTTCATATAACGAAGCCACGGCCGTTCGACGCTGACAAGGCCTGGCAGGACCACATCGACCGTGTCAAAGGACGCGAACCCAGCCAGTGGCCCAGCTCCATCTTCCACACTACATATCCCTTCAGCCGTTATCCTCTCTATTTGGTGTACAGCAAGAGACCACCCCCACCAGCAGCTGACAAATACGATCCTCACAAGGCTTGGCTCGACCATTTGGACCGCCTTGCCGAACTCGACAAACTCTACCCGAGCCTCTGGCCAAGATGGGGACGAAGCTATTCTCCTACACCAATCAAAGTAAGAGAAACTTAAAGAATTTGAAAATAAGAAGTTACGAGTAACTAAATTTTATACTGTAACCTACTTCGTTTTTCAGCCTGGTGAATGGGGCCCCCGCCCTTCTGAAGTCGCCTACAACTACGCCGGTCTTCCGATTTACCACCGGGCTGGGCTATTCCCAAGTAAGAGACTGTACCGCGACCTGCTGAATCCCTCCCCCTTCCTCCCAATATCTTCGATAATCAATGATCCATTCTGGTGGGACTCCCCCTTGTTGAGGCCTTACTCACCCTTCAACCCGTGGGGCAAGTCCCCGTTCTATCTCCGCGACTCGTACCTATCCCCAGTCAAGAGGACGTACCTGTGGGACAAACACCCCATCAGGCCGTTCGGTAAGTCCCAAAACTAACCCCTGACCCCCCAGCGGCCCCGATATCTCTGACCCAGATGACCACAGTCCCCCTTTTTGACCAGGACAGCGAAACTTTTTGGTAACTCTTTTTTATATTTTTTCTTGTGTTCTCAACTAATGGAAACAAGTGCCATTGTTGAGACAAATGTGGCACTTTTGGAACTGAGACCACCATAGTTTTTTAAACCAACCTAATAGCCATGTCTCAAGCAAACAACTATCATCTTTTATATAAAACGTTTATCTATGATTCTATCTAGTTTGCAAAACATTTGTTTATGTTAAAAATTACAATGTCATCAGGTAAAAGGTAAACTAGGTACAAGAAATACTAGAAAACAGCGCTTTAGTGAAAAATATTAATATATTGTCTGCTAGATGAGTTACAATAATTTTTGAGATAGTTATTAACTACCAGAGAACTGATATTTTTTCATTCTTTCAGTTTATAGAAAGAAATTGTTACCTAAATAAATACTTGGAACTGACGTTAGGAGTAACACCATTTTAGTGTACAATAATACATTTTATCTGACAATAGTAGGTTTTGGGGTAGATTATACAACTGTTTTGCGAAACAAAACTTCAATATTAACTATTAACAAGTGATGTAATGTATTTTCTCAAGTCAGTTTTAGATGTTTGAGACATAACTATGAATTTGGTAATACGTGACTTATTTTTAAGCATACAACCCGGAAAAAGTGGCTTTAAATCAGTCTACTTTTTACTGAACTTAAATTAGATACAACATGTAGATAGCGTTTTAGTTAATTTTTGTGTCTTTTGTCCTTTGTCCAACCTAGACTAAAAATTTACTTAGAACTTTTTGATCCTCCTAAAACTTGAAACTATGTCTTTCTTTTGCATGTCTACTATTATTAAAAAAAAAAATGTTCTACATCACTCCTACATGCACAGAAAATTTAATTACTATACACCAAAAAATCCATAAAATTTTGTAAAATAACAAAACTCTGTAGTAGACCCCTTTTAACAGCAGATTTCTCTATAGATGTAGACGAAACTGTAATGTCAGAACTATGTATTTTGCTGTCCATCTCTTTTTAAAGTTTTGTCTAGTGGGTCATGTGCTCTCTTTCACTCTCTTAAAACTAACAAACGCACAACGCTGCAATTAAACAAATTTACCTATAGACAAAAGCACTTTACAGCTTTGGCTGAATTAAGTGTTTAAATAAAATAAACATAACCCTATACGAAGAACAATTTGTTAATATCCGCAATTCGTATAGACGTCGTTTATTTAATTTAAATTGAAAACTGTGACTTGCAAGCTAATCTCGATGTCTTTTTTAGCTGCTGTCTACTAAGTGGAAGGGAATCTGATACGGAGCCGCCATCGCACGCAAAATCTCACAATTAATTGCGACTGACTGAACAGAAAGCTTTTACACTTGTTTTTACATTTATGAACAAGTGTTCATGCAAAGTGTTCATTTTGTTTTACATTATGTTCTTTTATTTCAATTTTATTTTCAAAACAAAAAAAATCTGCCTATACAAAATTGTGCCTTAAATTATACAAGGAACAAAGTGAAAAAAAAAAACGAATAAAAAATTGTTATTTTTTTAAATAGTTTTATTCGACTGCATCTTCACAGTGGCTGTTTTAGTTGCCTGAAAACGTGTCTCGCATTCCATCGATGCCGGTGGGTCATTGGAAGATGCAGAAATAATTAATCGTTTACTTATATGTGGCATGTTATTAATAAATTCTACCAAAAAAACCAAAAGTGTGTTTTTTTTGTCCTCAATGACAGATTAGAAGTTCGTCTATTTTATTAATTCGATGCTGCGTCGAGGAGCAAGTTGGAGTTTCCCAACGAGTATTGTTGTTATTATAACAACTACCCGAAGTGTATCATATATTTTTCGAAAGATCATATTTTTTAGTTATATGTATATTATTTAGTATTGCAATACAAAAGAAAAATATAAGTGGTAAGTAAATGTATAGACAGTGAAAGTAATAAAACATAGGTGCATACTACGAGATGATAAAATCAAATCAAAAGTTAATAAATATCTAGGAAATACCTAAATATTCGTAGGTATGTACAATTTGAACATTTATTAAAGATCACAGGAACGAGAAGGGAAAATGTAACTGAACCAATTTTCCGCCAGTGTAACTTATATTTACCTAGTTTACTTCAGTGCAACATCATTTAAACATAAAATTTGTATAAACTTTTCTTAGGAATACCTAATATGAAAGTACCATATTACTTCTAGTACAGGGAAACATGATCTTTACTGCAAGGGAGTGTACCTAATCCCAATTCTAAAATGTTTGGCATATTTCAGAGAGGATTTATTGGGCATAATAATTTTGATGGCTACGCTTACAACGACATTAAGACGTTTGCAAGATTTCAGACCATTCGGAGTAACAATCAATCCAGTAGTTTCGAAGATTATCTGTCTAATAAAAATCCGGCAGACAGGCAGACAAACCGAAACGGGAGATCTATGTTTTCGTGCTCTAGATGTTATGAAACGTCGAGAAAATATGAAAGTAGCCACTAGCCAGCCGCCTAATGGACTCGATTATAATACTTCTAGTACTTCGAGAAGTAGAAATTAATCTAAGATTATTTAGACAGAGCTTTCCTAGGAACGTTAAAAAAAAAGATCATTTTAAACTCGGAGTTAGCAGTCTTTCTCAAGAAATAATTTCGAAGACTTCCACGGTCGGAGTCAATACATGATCGTTTTCCGGGTTGGGACCGTGTTAATTGAGTTTTTTGGCACAATGTTGGATTACTAATGTTGATTACTAAGTTACAAGATTTCCATGGCTTGCTGAATGCATTATACACCATGAAATTATTAGACTAGAAGTTGAAATACATTTTATTGCCATAATTATGTTGTAACAAGAACTTTTATTGTTATGATAGGGTCAACACCCTACATAATCGCACTATTTCATGATTTTTTAAAATAAATTCTGATAGACAACTAGTTATCTGATAAATAAGCTACACGTGGGCACTATTATAAATCTCCTGTCATTATACAAATGCGCTAATGCTTCTTTGTAAGCCAATTTTGAAACTACTAAGGGAATAATGTTTTTATCATTCGTAAGTCTTATAACGTAAGTAGCTATACAAAATTCTACAGCTGTTAAAACCGCCAGACAAATATTACCATTGTAGTATACTCGTATAGCTTAATTAAATGTGTGATTCGATGTATTATGCTTTATTTACCTAAATGATCATCTGCGATGATCATCACTAGTTGCCATTGTAACTTTTGGGATTGAGTCCGAAAAAGACTCATTTTACGCACACCTTGAGTCCGTAAAATAGCTGTTTTTGGGAGCGTATACAAAAAACGGATTTTCTGTACGAATAAAACAATATTTTTTCTCCAACCAAATAAAAATAAAAAATTAGAAAATAAAAAATAAAATAACTGTTTTCCCACTTTTTATTTAAAAAACTTACGTCTAACAAATTCACCTAATTATTGAGTAATTTTACGTGTTTAACGTACCACACAAGCTTGAATAGTTTGACGTTTGACAGATTTTCCTAACTTTATTGGGCCCTAATACTCGAGGTTAAATTATTTTTTTTGTACAGTTGCCATGGTGATGTGAACAGTCCCGAAATAGTCTTCTTTTATTATAAATTACTATGACAATACGGTGTCTTATTCAGGCGGTTGGAGAAAAGTTATTTGTTTAAAAAAATATATTGTCAAAGTTAAATAAAAATTAAATAAAGCAATAAGAAGTGGGACTTTTTAAAAGACCAAAAACTTTCAGAATATCAATAATAATAATAATAATAATAACCTTTATTGCCCAACAGATAACCCTATTACAGGACAATATAAATCAATAATAAATAAAAATAAAAAATTAAATAAAATAACTAACAAGTTAAGGATCGTAAGGATCAAAACCAACACACTATGCCTACCATGCAATACGTGTATAATTAAATTAACATTAATAATAAAAATAATAAAAACAACAATTTAACGCAGCTGACTCATTTTACAAAAAAATACATCATCATAAAATTTTTTCACATTCTGATACATATGTTCCAGTGGGGCTTTACGTAGTTGATTTGTTCTTGGTATTGAAGGCAGAAATGAAGATGCATGACGTGAGACGATACGTGGTACGTGAAAATTAACATTGGCCAATAAAATAGGACAGTCAATTTTTCCCTGAATTAAATTCCATAAAAAATTAGCACTGTACAATTGTCTTCTGCTACTCAAGCTATGAATTTGGTGTTGTGCTAATAACAAATTATATTCCATTCCCCTAATTGGATAGATTCCATCAATTCTAAACGATAAACATTTTAGAAAACGACGTTGAACTTTTTCTATGGCAAGCCTATGTGATTCATAATACGGATACCAGATAATAGACCCATACTCTAGTTTACTTCGAACAAATGAGAAGTATAACATTTTCATTAGTTGTGGGTCAGTGAAATCTTTTGTAAGTCGAAATGTAAAGCCAAGCATTTTCGAAGAAGATAGACATATATTATGCATATGTTGAGTAAACGATAAATGTGAGTCAAATGTGATACCCAGATCTTTTACTAACTGTATTTTTTTAATTGATTTATCGTTTATAAGATACGAAAAGCAAACTGGATTTAATTTTTTTGTATAGGTCATAATGAAACATTTATCAGTATTTAATAGTAATTTGAATTCTTTGCACCAGTCTACCATCCTTTCAAGATTATTTTGAAGCAAAATGCTATCATCTAAGCATCTTATTGAGGAGTATAGGTTTATATCATCAGCATATGCTAACACTTTACAACGTAATGAGTCCAAAAGATCGTTGACAAACACTACAAAAAGTAAAGGCCCTAAATTAGACCCTTGTGGCACTCCAGAGGTGGAAACAAAATTTTTAGATTGAAAACCATTATAGAAAACATAATTTTGTCGGGAGTCAAGGTAAGACTCCATTAGTTTTAAGAAACTATATGCAAATCCAAACCAACTTAATTTACATAAAAGAACATGATGATGAATGGAATCAAACGCACAAGAAAAATCAGTATAGACGACATCGACTTGTCCATTCTTATCTATTTGTTGTGAAATGAATTGACTTATTATACCTAGCTAAATTAGTGATTGTAGATCGTCCAGGTAAAAATCCATGTTGATGTATAGAGATGAGACTTTTAACAGTGTGATAAATATTTCTATAAATGAGTATCTCAAAAATTTTAGCAAAATTCGAAAGTATAGAAATAGTTCTGTAGTTTTTTATCATAGAAGCATCACCTTTTTGTATACGGGAGTAATTCTGGCTATCTTCCAAGTGTCAGGGAAGGTGGATGATTTTATAGCTAAGTTAAAAATTGTAGTAAGAGGTCTAGCCAATGCGAATCTTGTGTCACGTATAATAAAACTAGGTATTAGGTCATCACCAGCAGTTAATTTGTTAGGGAAAGATGACATAACAGACAAAACTTCTTCTTCAGAAACATTTTGCATTATAAAGGAGGAATTATTTGTGACAACATCAGTAAGTGAAACATCAAGTTTGGATTTGTACATGCTTGAAAAATTTTCTGCAAATATATCTACTATTTGTTGAGGATGGTCATATTCATTTCCATTATGTGATAGTTTCCCAGGAATGCGAGTCGTACCTTTTTTTGCCTGAGCATATTTCCACATATTTTGAAGACAGGTATACAACGACTGCTCAATTGAACTAAGGTAAGCTTGATAAGCTGAATTTATTAACTGCTTGCAAATAGCCCGAAGTCTTTTAAACTCACTATGATAAAACTCACTAGATGTTTTGTTCCATTTCGTCCTATAATAATCTTTCAGCTTCAAAGTGGATATTAAATTCTTATTAAACCAAGAAGGGTACGTTGATTTAACTACATGAAACTAAGGAACAGAAGAGTGTAAGATACTGTATAATTTATCGTAGAAAAGATTCACACAGGCATTCACGTCATTGGTAAAGCTTAAAGAAGACCAGTCAGTAGCAAGAATATCATTATATAAATTTACGTAATTAGCTTTCATGAAATTATATCTTAAGTTGTTACCAGATGGAAAATTACTAACTTTTGCAGAGGTGGGAAATTTCACAATCATTGACAAAGAGGGATGGTGTATATCTTCTGGTACAATTGGGTAATTTTCATGAGATACGTTAACTGAACCATCAAAATTTGACAAGATTAAGTCCAAAAGTCTGTTGTGGATATTAAATATGCAATTATGCTGAATAAAATTTAGGGAACTGGAAAAAGTTGAAAATACGTGGTTCTTACTGCCTGGTGTATTATAAGTTAAATTATTGTTAAAATTTGCCAAGTTAAAATCTCCAATAAACAGTGTGGGCTTGTTCAATAATAATGTTTCCAGAGCTTCAAAAAATGACTCAAACTCACTACATGAGATATTTGGAGGAATATAAACAGCTGCTAAATAAAACTGAAAAGTATTACAAAAACAATTACATACAATCAAGTCTATAGCGGGTACTAATTCTGCAATACTCGTCGTGTCTACTACAGAATATGTAACAGTTTTGGAAAATAAAATTAATACTCCACCACCAATAATTCGATCAATTATTCAACATTTTCTATCATTTCTGATAACATTATAAAAAGATGGACACAGTTCAGAATTAAGAAACGAATCATTTAGCCAAGTTTCCGTTATAATTATTACATCAAAAAAACATTCAGATACATTGTTATAAAACGATTGGAGTTTAGACCTAAGTGACCAATACGTCACTTAGGCAATTGATTGAATCAAAATTCCGTTTCGTATGATAATAACTCAAATAGTCAAAGTAGCTACACATATACGATTAGATTAATTAGAAGTGATTTCTCCAAATTCAACCGTAAAGAAATCGAAATAGTTTTAGAATGTTTTTTTACCCAACGAGTTACCTAAGTTATCATCTTGGTTTATATTTATGTATAAATCTTAAATATAAAAATGTTTTCAAAGCAATTATGGACACTTTTAAATAACTACTACCTACTGGAAAAGGCACAAAACTGTCGAAGACGTTTGACGTCAAAAGGTTTGCCTCGAAAGTGTTTTAAGCCAGAGAGTCGCAGGCAAGAAGCTAGTTATGGATAATAATAATTATAATATTTCATTTTTAGACTGCGATAAAAATATTATGGGGATTAATGTTTTATAAACATAATAAAGTAATTAAGAAAGATTAAACGGTGAAGTTCTTTTGCAACGGTATATAACAGCAATACGATTTTCAGTATTTTATGTGCCATCGCTAGTTACGAATATAGAACAGGTACATACTAAACTGTTGGTTTAAATGTTTTATACTTTAATGGTTTATTGTTTTCAGGTGTTCAACTTTGTTTTCTTCTTTTACTTCTTAATTTGTTGTTAAAATAAAGTTATATTGAAGTATTTGTGACATTACAAAGGAATTTATTAACAAATGCTTTTAAATTGCACCAAGATCATATTAAAAGATAACATGCATTAAAAAACAAACTAAAATAAAATTAATGTTACAACTAAAGTTCCACCACAAGTCTACATTCTGCTTAAAAACAAGTAATTTTTCTAACAGCACAAGATATATTTTCAACCAAATTATTATCCACGTCTAAAAGTTGCAAAAAAAACAAATGAATATGTTTAAGAATCTTCTAGCAAATTTCAGGTAAGTAGATACTTATGTTTAAGATTATTTTTCATATAGGTGCATAGCTATCAGTGCTTACCTATTCTAAAATGATGTAATGTGAAAATACAAAAAAAAAGAAAAAATTAAAGCGAGACAGTTGCAAACCTAGGTATACAAAGTTTCTATCCATATTCATACCATTTATTAAATTTTATTTCTACATTTTCGTAATAACTTTCTTTCCATTACAAACACATACATCTGTTTCTTACATTTACATTTTTAATTTTGTCTAATTTTATTTTTCATTGTGGTTTTGGATTACTTTCATCGTTAATGCATACTTGTTCTTGAGCCCCTTCTTTACTTCTAAAAATATCAAACATCTTTTTTTAATTATTAATAATTTTTTCTTAGGAGGCGGACCGGAAATCGGCCCCTTAAGTTAACCCTATTACAGCGGAAAGTCGATCATTCGTAATTGAACCTACCCCTCTTATTGCAAGTACCAAAAAGCCCAAATTCTTCAAATAACTTAGCCATCAAAATCATGTATTGCATTTTCCACGGCCTCGCAAATTCACATAGCTGTCGTTTCTTTGTTTCAACGTGTAAGACGATTGACTTATCTCTCGCTAATGATCAAGAATGTGGTCACTCACGATCTCCTGGTGACGTTAAGTTGGTGGTCAAGTTATCTGAAATCGCCCTATCTATAGAGTTTGAGATGCACTGCCCGCCTATATCCTCCTCAGAAGGAGCACTGTCACGGCCAACGTGGAGAGGACACCTCCACATCCATACGTAACTATGTTTCCTCCAAAAACCGGATTAATCTCCCAACCTAAATCAGTAAACGTATTCTTTGTTGCATTCAATTGCCACCACAACACCTTAACACCCAACTGATTGGTTTTGTCGCCATTCTTCATTCCCACGCCACGGTCCGACACTCTTTTAAATAGGACAAGGGAATTAGAACCAAGTTAGTGGTGTAGAATCCCGCTTATCAACCACTTGGTTAATCCGTCTAAGGGCCCAATTCGGCCCTGCTTCCGCCACCAGGCAGAAGTCGCTCCAAGAGCCCCCCCCCCCCCCCCCCCCAATCTACTGTCGTAAGAACCCCTCCACCGAGCTTTCCCAGAGCATCGACCCACTGCTCAGATGGCTCTTATCGTTATCAGTGACCCAATTAATTACACATATGCAGCACATTTTGTCCCTCTGAAATATGGAAACTGCTACGACAGATACACCCGATCTTTTTTCGATTTTATTCGGGACCCCTGCCATAATAGGAGCGTTTGCCCTAGTATGCCACTGTCCACGTTTTTATCTCGTCCACGTTCTTATATGATCCACGTGCTCAATTCAGCGAGCGGGCATTGCCCTACGAATGGTTGAATTAATACCACTTTCCTTGGAGTTTTTCCAAATTTTACTCTACGACCTAGGAAACTATCTGCCCTGCTATATTTTGTACATAATGCTATAAAAGGCCACATAGCCCTGCCCGCTTTCTTTAATCCAGCTTAATGTTTATGTTTACTGCCATTTCTTCTCTCCTAATCATGCACAATCCTTCCCTAGTTTTAGTTAGTTAAGAATAAGTTGCTTTGCGAGCTCTCCTCTCGTTCCAACTCGTTTATTTATCAATATATTACCTATGGAGCGAACCGCCTTGCGGTTAAGTTACCCTTCTTATCTCCTGAAGCGGCCCTTCATAGGTCCGGGACCTGGGGCACCGTTTGTGACTTCCAGTGACAAAACTATGACACTAAATATTAGAATTAGACTATAGAAAAAGCCAGCAAAGCCACCACACTTAACTAACTCTAAAACCTATCTACGGTTAAAGGTGTAAAGCTGTTGGTAGAATTGAGTAGTCGTTTGGCTATACCTTGATGTTTTCATTGGTTTTCTCCTAAATCTGCCTCTTCTTATTTGTTGTATACTACACTAGTTGAATTTTTACTTCCCGAGTGTAAGACAAGAGAGTATTTTGTAATCGAGTCCGTCAGACCACTGACTAGTTTAATGTTTTCTCATGACCCCTAGAATACGAAAAAATGGGTCTCCCGTTTCCGTCTGTCTGTCCGGATTTTTACTAGACACATAATTTCCAAAACTAATGGACTGATTGTTGTCAAATTTTATATGTGTATCGTATAGACAGAAAAACTTCAAGCAAAATAATAAATCGTTAATCAAAATTTATTTGTTTATGGCGTCTCCAACAAAAGACGACGTCATCTTACAATTTTTCAGAAGAAATATTCTTGAAATTAATAAGTGTTTACGCTAGACATCCAGTTTTTTGAGAAAAAAAAAAAAAAGGAAAAAGTAAAACATAGTTTGTTATCTGTTTTGAGCAACAACCTGAAGAGCTTTTGTTTTGAATTTGTTTGGTTTTGCTGTTAACCTAACTAAAATATTTGCAAGTTATCAAAACCAAAGAGCTCACTTACTTTAAAAAGTGCCAAGTGATAGTAAATACCAAAGACTGCTATCCAACTATTTTGTTTGCGTTTTGAATATTTTAGGCCTGGAACTTTTCGTCAATAACCCTGTATAACAGGAATAATTCTATTCTTACAGATATTTTTCTACAAAACCCAATGTACACCAAACGGAGGCATTTAATGAATTGGCTGAAATGTGGTGGAACGATAAAGGCATTTTGAGAATTCTTCACACTCTAAATGATTTGAGAGTAAATTGGATTACAACCCAGCTAATTAAAACTGGTACTATTCAAAAAACTGTAGACAAATCTACAACCTTAAAAGGAATTTCAGTTTTAGATGTTGGTTGTGGGGGTAAGTTAGTAAAATAGAACAGTTAGTATCTGTTTCGACCCAAAGAACTTTCCGATGAAAATAAATTTTTGCAAAAGTCCAGATAAATAAAGAGAAAAGCTAACTTAAATTTAATTTTCAATTCACTGAGATGTTATTTCGTCAAAATTGAATAAAATATTGTATACAACCATGCGAGTTAAGCATATTAGTTATTTACTCAAAGAACTAATCCACTCATATCGCATGTCTATGGAACCAGTGTGTTACAATGCTGACGTTTGACACCAAAAAGATAATTGAAATAAATAATAAATAATAAAGACTGTAATAAATTCATATGCTTTATTTCATTTGAAAACTTTTGAAATAAAGTAATAAAAAATTAGTTGTGGAGGTAGCACTAAATTAATTTAGTATACTTAGTAACAGAATGGATTAGTGGGCTGAGTACACTCACGTAACTAACACAATGAACATTGCAGGTGGAATTTTAACAGAACCTTTAAGTCGCTTAGGTGGAGACATTACAGGTTTGGATTGCAATGTCGAAATGATTAAAATTGCCACGTCACGTATGCAAGATAAGAATGTTCCTAACTTGCGCTATATACTCAGTGCGATTGAAGAATATTCTACTGATAATAAAAACAAGTACGATGTTGTAGTAGCATCTGAAACAATTGAACATGTTAATGAACAGGATGTGTTTTTAAAATGTTGTGTAGAATGTTTGAAACCAGGTGGGTCTATTTTCATAACAACCAATAGCAAGTCACAATGTTCAAAATTTCTCTTTATTACTTTATTGGAAGATATTCTAAGTGCTTTACCTAAAGGAACACATGAATATGATATGTTTATTGATATTGAAGAAGCGAAAAATTTACTCAGAAAAGGTATGTTCAATGGTTTTTTATTTGTGAATGTATTAAAATTTCGCATAATTTTGTTTCAGAGAAGTGCGATGTTACTTTTAGTAGTGGAATAATATATAGTCCTTTCAACAACAGATGGTATTGGATAAAAAATCCCTACATTCTGCATTATGGATTACATGCCATAAAATCTTCATAAATCTTATAAATTATTAAAAATGTGTAAACTATGAAATCCAAACTTTATCAATAATCTACTAGACAGTTATTTATTTAATCTTTAATATTATTGAAAGCGTTTATAATAATAATTTAATTAATAAAAAATAAACAAATAAATAAATAAATATAGGTGAACGCTCTAAAATATTGGTTCTACATTTGGATATGGATAAACGTAATTCTTCAAATGGCCTCACAAAATAATCAAGCTGTGTCAAATCCGGTAAACCGGCCTATCCATCTGCCAGGAAAAGTTCCATTTAAGTACTGTGCTTTTGACGTCCAAAATGGGGTGGAGCACCCTCTTCTTGAAACCAAATAATTTCTGCTAGTAACTCCGAATTTTAGTAATTGGGAAACTATTCTCTAAGTCTAGGCACTATACGTTCCCGCAACAGCCTTAAGTATCCCTCAGAATTTAAATTCCCATTAATAAAAAAAGAACCAATTACAGGGTAACCAATAATACCGCACCAAACATTCAGTTTTTTTGCACGCTGTGAGTGGACTGGCTCCATTCAGTATGGATTTGTGTCAGACCAGTACCTACAGTTGTGTCTGTTCACATGATCACTTAAACAAAACCTAGATTTGTCAGAAAACAAAATCCTGTTGATAAAATTTCCGTCTTGTATTCTGTTCATAATAATTTCCCTCTTGTTGGAATTCATCCGTGTAATAACAGCCCACTGCATGCGAGTAAAAGACTATTTTATCAACGACTGAATAAAAAATTCTGCACTTAAAAATTTATTTTGTATTTTCCAAAATTGATTGTGACGTTATACTTAGTAATATTGATGCAAGGGGGAGATGCAATATTAACATTACTATTCAACTACAAATTTGAAACTTTTGATGTTCCAGCTTCGGAATTAGGTCTTGATTCTTCCGATCGCGTTTTACATGAAGTGCAACCTGATTCTAATTGATGTAGAATTTTTGTGGCGATATTTATTTTAAGGTAACTCAACTCAATATGGCCTAGTATCCAATATGGCATATTGACTTTTTCTCATATGTTTCAAACAAAATGTGGTAGATTGCCACTGGGATACATTCTGGAACGTTTTTATATCATTTAGGAGCAATCAGTAAAGTAATACACCGTTTCGTTTACTTACAATGCAATTCTTTGTGATGGTGATTTGACGACTCAGTATGCGTTCTATTTGATGCCGCCAAGTTTTCTTTGGGTAGTTTTAATCTCAATTACGTTAGCAATTTCATATTTTTATAATTGTGTAGCTCCTTTTTTCCGCTTTTAAATGATCTGCATTAGTTGTACTTCTTAACAGCTTTTCAGTTGGGGATACTGACAATATCTTCGCTTGTGATGTGGAATCAATATGGCGTAGGCGGGCTGTTGGACTGTTGGGTAGATGCTGCAGTTCTCGTTTGATTTTTTTTTTTTGTGAATAAGCTGATTTAAATTACTATGAACAAAAAGCAAGCTCACAGAAGAAGCAAGAAAATTGTTTTTGCAAGATGTATCAAGAAAATATTCTAGAAGATATGAGAATATGCCCCGTATGTAAGAAATATGTGCACGAGGAGTGCGTGGATTTCACTAAAAATGATAAAGATATTTTTATTTCTCCTTATTGTGAAAATTAACAATTTGTTTGTCAATAAACTTTTTTTCCGTGCTTATTTTTGTTTTTTTTTATTTTTTAAAAACAGGCCGTATTGGGTGTCTATGTACTCAATTTGGCTTAAAGACACATTTCATTTAAACCGGGTACTGTCGGGCTCTACAATTTCGAAAATGTCTGAAAATTGAAAATTATGTACAAAAATGTAACCTCTTTCAACTCCCACCATTACTCTTCCATTTCAAGTTCTTACAAAAATTAAAAAAATTCTCAAAAATCCCTCATTGACGTGATCAGGATAGTTGTAATTTTTATTACTCTTCACTGTTTGGGCACAGCATATCTCTTATTTAAGTAGTAACTGAATGGTAGGCGCCATTCGGCCCAAATTTATGGCATCTATAAGCTGTGGTTAGGGGTTTATTGAGCGCTTGAAGCTTTCAGCTTATTGTGACAACTACTATACTTCGCATTATAGCTTGAATAAACTTTTCAAGCACTTTTAATGTAGTATCCCAATTGACGTTCAAATTATTTGAATGCAAAGCATTTTCTCCTTTCACAATGCATCTCCGATCGTCAACAAAAAAAATTGGTAAGTGCCCCTATTGTTAACACATGTCTTTCTGTCATTATTAATAACAAATACAAAAAACAAGTCCACAAACATATACATCCTAATAATATCATTAATAATAATAATAATAATAATCATTTATTTCCAACAGGCAAATTACACCCAATTACTGGAAACAATAAAATACTTAGTTCTAACAAAGAATGTAGGCATAAACTTAAATTAAACTTATTTAACTAGAAAAAAAAAATTAAAGTGAAAAAGAAACAAGGGAAGGTAAAAAAGAAAAAGTTATTTCTCAAAAACCGTAAGAACAATTTCCGAAATTCTGTAAATGGAGTCAAAATGAATATCACATACACTGTTTAAGCTGTTAAATAAATCCATCATCAGCGCTATCGGTGACTTAACTAAAACATTAGTTCTTTTAGGTGCAGAATAAAAAGTACGTGAGTTCCTTGCGCACATGCGAGGCACTAAAAAACTAAGTTTATTTAAAAGATAAATGCAGTCTATTCGGTAGTTGACAAGATTGTAAAGGAAGCGAATAACACTTATAGCACGTCTGGTATTTAAGGTTGTTAAGTTAAATCTTGCCAAAAGAAGCGAATGATCAAGACCAATAGGGGGATAAACACTATCAACAACATAAGAAATGAATTTAAGGAATTTCCTTTGCAACTATTCAATGTGATCTTTATGAATATTGTATATAGGGTACCATATCAATGCACAGTATTCCAGCCTGGATCTAATCAATGATGCATAAAGGAGTAGCAGAACAGATGCATCGGTGAAATCTTTGCAATTCTTATAAATGAAACCATAAGTTTTGTAAGCCATGCCCAAAGTATCAGAAATGTGATCAGTGAAATAGAATTTTTGATCAACTAGAACACCGAGGTCCTTGATTGAATCAACACGATTTATAACCTCTCCATTTAACGAATAATCATGTAGTAATAATTTAGATTTTCTCGAGAAAGTCATTACATTGCATTTGGATACGTTAAGGGTTAAGCGATTTTGTGCACACCAGTTTGAGATGATGTCAAGATTTTTTTGCAAAGTGAGAGCGTCACCAGAAGCACGTATTTCAAGGTAAAGTTTCATATCATCGGCGAATAACAATTTACCACAAGAAATATCATCAACTATATCATTGATGAATATGAGAAATAAAAGTGGGCCTAAGTTTGACCCTTGAGGTACCCCAGAGGTTGGAGAAAAGCTTGAGGAGTAAAAGTTACAGTATCTGACAAATTGTACTCTGTTGAGTAAATAAGATTCGAGCAGTAATAATGACTAAGCCGTACGACTGTAATTTGTTAAGAAGAATGTAATAGTCAATTTGATCAAAAGCTTTTTGAAAGTCTGTATAGACAACGTCTACTTGACCTTGTTTATCAATGACTTCGGATACAAATTGGCTAAAACAGGCGAGATTTGTAACAGTAGATCGTTTATTGACAAAACCGTGTTGTTCAGTTGCTAGCAAACTTTTTATTTGAAAATAAATGTGTTTATAAATTACTGACTCGAATATTTTAGAAAAATTGCAAAGCAAAACTATTGCTCTGTAATTAGGAATTAATGTTGGATCGCCCTTCTTAAAAACAGGGGTGACACTGGCTTTTTTCCATATTTCAGGAAACTGAATTTCTTATAATTAGATTGAACAGGACATGTAACGGTTTGACCAAAACACAAGCGCAAAACTTGGAATTCCGTCTATGCCGGCTGTAAGTGAATTCCTAGATCGCTTTAAGGCTTCTAGAATTTCATCCTCTGAGATAGATGTAACAGATATGGGAGTAGAGAAACATTTTGTTACAGCGCACTGCTGGCTAAAATCGGAAGCAATATATACGGAATTGAAGAAATCATTGAACGCGTTTATAATAGCGCAAGGACTGGACAGCTCACTATCGTTGTAGTACATTACCCCTGGAATTCTTGTGTGACCCTTTTTCTTACGAATATATTCCCAGAGCTTTTTCGGATCGGTTGAGAGCGAATGTTGAATATTACTCAAATAATGTTGGTATGCAGATGTGATGAGTGTCTTACAGAGTGATCTGTAGTATCTGAATTTGATCAAATAATGTTCAGTTTTGAAACGTTTATATTTTTTATGAAAAGAATATTTCAACTTTAACCAGTCAAGTATTTCACGATCAAACCATGGAGGGTATTTGCGACAATTGTTGGAATTAATTCTATATTTGGGAACAGACTTGGTGAAAATTTCGTTCAAAGCGTTATAGAAAGAAGAACAAGCAGCGTTTACATCCTTAATGTCATACAAGAAAGATCAATCTGCAGATAAAAGGTCTTGATACAATAACAAAAAATTAGCTTTCATAAAGTTAAATTGTTCTGAATCGGTGTTCGTGCTGAAATTAACAAATGGCTTTTTTATTACCTCAAAGCTTAAATCTAAACTTGGATGGTAGTCATCTTCAATGACAAGAGCGTGCTCCGATCGGGTCACATTACAATTAAGATTAGCGAAAACTAAATCTAAGGTACAACTGAATTTGTTTGGCACGTTATTAAATTGGGTAAAGTTATAAAAGTGACTAAAATTATTTAAGTGTGTACTTATACTATCGTTGGACTTTCGGCAAAAATTTGGCGCATTAAAATCACCCAATACTATAACTCTGTCGTTGTGAGTTTCCTCAATATTACAAGTAGTATGTCAAGAAATAATTGGTAATCATTAACGGACACAGATGGGGTTATGTAAAGAACAAAAACAAATAAACAAGTACTAGTATCAAAAGAGATCTTCACGCCAACAATATCGATAAATGGTAGAGTATTAGTAATGGGGGAGAGGTCCAATTGAGAACACATATTTACTTTACGCAGCGAAAAGAACTCCACCGCCCCTTGAAACAT